GCGGAGGGGAAAATGGAGAAGTAGGAAGTGGAGACGGAACAGGGAGGTGGGCTGATGAGGAATGCAAGGAGCAACAGCGGCAAGATGAGAATGGAGGAGGAAGGGGGCACGACTGCATTAACGAGGAGGAGGAGGAGGAAGAGGAGGAGGAGGAGGAGGATAAGGATGACGGCAAAAGTGAGTTATAAATACATTCGCGGATCTTTCGCTCCAAGAGTTTCTTGGAAGCCTCTTGAGCCATGTTGGAGCTCCCTCAGGGAAACTGTGGGAGCTTTCAGGGCCGTCTTGGAGCCCTTTGAGGGAAGTCGGGGGTCCTTTCGGGGCCATCTCCGAGGGCATCGATCTAAGAAGGGGGTCTTCAAGTACCCCTGCCCCATCGGAGCCGGAGACACGCATTTTGGGGCGTTCTTGGGGCGCGCTTACGCTAAAGGGATTGTCTTGGACCTCTTCTGGGCCCCTCTTGGGGCTCTCGCGGGTGATCACGAGGCTGTCTTGAGGCCTCAAAGGCCCATCGGGCGCAAACGGGCAACCAGCCCAACCATCTAGGAGGTATCATTCGGTTTCGAGTTATGTTTTCATCTCGGGGGTCTCCTTGGACCGCTCCGTGGCCACGTGGAGCCGTCTTGGGTTGGAGTTGTGGCCTCTTGGGGGACATCTGGAGCCAGCTTGGAGGCCATCTTGGGCTACAGGCGAGACGCTGAAGTAAGGAATACACTGGACACCCATGCCAAGAAGCACACTGCTTGCATCCAGGGTGCCCTGGGTTTCTTGGGTTTCGATGGTTTTGCTACGGAAGGCGTGGCGTTCCCACGCCCGACATCAGTGCACGTCCTGGGGTCTCAGGGTTGGGTTTCTTGTGAAAGGTTTCTTGTGGTCGAACTCCTGCTGCACCCTGGGCTCAGGAGGAGCTTCGGTCTTCGGGTCGTTCCCTGGGTCCAGGTCGGGCGGGGGATGGGTGTACTCGTGGCCCAGGGTCGCTGTGGCCAGAAAGGCCACCTCGTTCCTCATATTCAGGGCTCCGCTTGGTAGCACGGTGACTCAACCTGAATCCACCCTGAGGCTGGCCTGGCCCAAGGGCCTCCCAAGGATGCCCCCGACAAGCCCACATACTTCAAACATCTTCGGTGTTTCAGCGATTGTGGTTTTGAGTGACAGGGGGGGGAAGGAAGGGGGCTGATATGTTCCGCCCCTCGTGAGCCCTCTTGTTGCCTCCTTGTGCCTTTTTGAGGCGCTCTGGGTTGCTATTGAGGCCGTTTTGGAGCCCGTACGAGCCTCTTTTCGAGCTCTTTTGGCCGATATTGGAGCCACCTGGGAGCTGAGTTTTTTTGTTCTCGAACAAATAGTGCTCGTTATATGGTCTCGAACCCACCCACCCACCCAGTAGATAACATAGTGCCCGCCGCCCCACCCATCCGTGTTGCAGCTGCGCCTGTTGCTTAGGTCGCAGGTATACTGCTCGTAGTGCGCACGCAACGTGTTTGCAGTGTGCGCAGGCATGTGCTTGTGTGGTATGTAGAGGCGCGTGACGCGCTCAGGCTGTCGTGGCACCTGCACAGGTGCGGCGGCGCACCCACACTGGAAGAGCAAAGCAGTTCGACGTGCAGAGCGCACACACACCGGTTGCGGCGGCAGTTGTGTTGCACACAGGCGCGGTGGCGTCTGGCATTGTGATATACACTGGTACTCTTGCGCGCGCAGGCCACGGGGGTAGGGGCTGTAATGGTGGCCAGAAAAGAATAATAAACACAAGCAACATGCATATTGAATTTGATATGGCCGGTCTGGCCATGGTTTGTTGAAGTTTGACACCGTCGGGTACCTGGAGGTGTACGTGGGCTTTGTGGTGTACGCGGGCACTGTGATGCACATGCTGGCGACATTCACAGGCACAGGGGTGAATTCGTACGCAGGCACTGGGGTGCGCAGAGTGTTTTTTTGTTGTTGTGAAGGCCTTACGGCCCGTGCCGCCGACTTGAAGGTTTTGGCCGTCGATGGCGACGGGATGTGTGATCACAGGAAGGAGCTAAAGGACAACGTGACAGGGTAGGCGGAGGAAGTGTGTGTCAGGAGGAGGAGGAGGAGGAGGAGGAGGGGAAGACAAACGAAAAGGAGATGGAGAAGATGGCAAAAGACGCTCAGGAGGAGGAGGAGGAGGAAGAGGAGGAGGAGGAGGGAGGTTGTATTCTGACCCGGGACCCCCCCCAGGACCCCCCTTGGGACCCCCCCCAGGACCCCCCCCGGGCTTCCCCCGGGACCCCCCCCGGGCGGGGAATGGAACAAAGGGAAGGGGAAACCCTTCGAGTCAGTTTACTTTACGCAGGAGGAAAGAGATGAAGGAGGAGGAGGAGCAGGAAGAGGAGGAGGAGGGGAAGAAGGAGGAGGAGGAGGAGGGGGAGACGAACGAGAAGGAGACGGATAAGGTGGGAAAGGGAAGGAGGCACGGACGAGAAGAACAACCCATTCCACACGCCGACATTCACAGGCACAGGGGTGCATTCGTACGCAGGCACTCGGGTGCGCAGAGTTTTTTTTTTTGGGTGGGCTGCGACGTGGCGAGCGGTACTCTGGTGACTGTTGTGCGCCGCAATATCTTGGAGCAGTTCCTGTACTACCACCGCGCCAACCTCGGCGCGCTCATCACCCTGTGACCCCGCAGTGACCAGTTTACTGGGAAGGATTTACTGCTGGTGCCGCCGATCCTGGGCGCTAGGACGAGGTGGGATGGGGAGGAGAGACAAGAGGAGGAGGAGGAGGAGGAGGAGGAGGAGGAGGAAGAGGAGGAGGAGGAGGAGGAGGAGGAGGAGGAGGAGGAGGAGGAGGACAACGGGCAGATGCGGGGGCGATTCGGGGAAGGGCGTCACTTGAGCATCATGGCACTCCCTTTGGCGCGCTCTTGAGTTGATCTTGGACTTGTTACGTGGCTTCTTCGGCGCCTATTGGGGCCTCCTGGGTGCGTCTTGGTACGGAAGGGTCGAACTCTCGGTTGGTGGTCTCCCGCTTGGGAGCCCCTTGGGCAGTCTTGGGCGTTCCTTCGGCCGTCCCGGGGCCGTGTTGAGCCGCGTCGGAACCCTCATGGGGGCCTCTTGGGGCAGAGCCTTCTCGAGCGAAGCCTCGGCACAAGTGAACTCGAGGCGCCAATGGCCTTCCCCGCTCTGGAGGGATCTTCGCCTCCGCGGCCGAGCGCAGCTCGAAAAACTTGCCGGAGGGGTATCTAGGCGGCCAAAAACCACATACAAACACGCATATTCAATTTGATACGTTCGCGCCCGCCCCTTCCCCACGAACACGAGTTTCAGTTGATGGGCCTCGCCGGGACCCTCGAAGTGTTCGCGGGCTTTGTGGTGTACATATACGGTGTGGTGCACGGGGCGCCAGTGGCCGCGCGGCGCGCGGCTGCTGTGGTGTGCGCGTGGATCGTGTTGGACACAGGCGTTGTGGTGCACGCAGGTTGCGACATCAGCATGCGTGGTGGGAGCGGGCGTTGCGGTGTCAACGCGCTTTGTGGCGATCGCAGCTGCAAGGCCGAAGCGCTACATCAGTACCAAGAATAGTAAAAAAGAACAATGCTTAAGCAAACATTCGAGCGGCCGGGCGCGACTGTGTTATGTTATGTGTCAGCGACTCTACCCGCCCACTCAGCCACATAACGCGTGTTTTGTGGTTTCCCAAAATGTTGGTGTCTAGATGCATCGGAAACGAATGGGCAAGAAGGCACGAATTAGTTGTGTCCTTAGATGTTGGAGGGGCTTTGGCCTCTCGGGGGCGTCCTTGAGAGGCCCTGTGGCCACTTGGAATCGTCATGAAGCAGTATTGGAGCCTTTGGGGGTATGCAGGGAGCCATCTAGAGACCTCCTGAGCTATATTGTGCCACTTTGGGGACCATTTTCTGTATAGCGCTATATTCGGCCATCTTGGACGCTTCAAAGCGTGGGGATCCCCACCCCTCCAGATTCAGGGAAGGAGTATGAGGAAAGGGATACATACACTTTCCCAAAGGGGAAAGACAAGGGGTTGGAATAACGAATTCTTTATACCACCTTCGCCCTTGGAGCTGGTGGCACTGGCATGCCCAGCATTTAACGGGGGCGCCAAGCAAAAATTACCTCGGAGCGGGGGCAAACTACAGACACGGCACACTACAGCACACGAAACGGCACAGGACAAAAGCGAGATGAAGGTGAGAAGGTGAGAAGTAGGCAGATTAGGATCTCCCTCTGCTCCGTCCGTCATCCTCCCTCTCTCCCCGCATCCTGCGTTCTCGTCATCTTCTTTATCCTTCCTCCTCACCCTCCTCCTTTACCTCCTTCCTCCTCGTCATCCTGGTCTTCGTCTCATCTCATCTTGGTCTTTCTTTTGCTGTTTCTGCTTCTCCCCCTCTTTCGTTTTCTTTGACCATCTGCCACGAGCTGGTCCGGAGGAAATCCAGAGCGAGCACTTGCAGGCTAAGGGGAAGGCCAATGCCACAGGTAAGGGTAATGACACTATGTCCATACACGGCGCACGCGAAAGGTACATGTCGAAGGATGGCGATCAGCAGAGCCGACGCACACACTTCATTCTGGTTGGCTGCTTCAGGTGGGGTCTGCGGTCCACTTCAGCAGCGCTCTGCGTTCCAGGTGTGCTTTACTGTCAACGCCACGCGTGGTGCGTTGGACCTGGTGGTGATGGCGTGGTCACATATGAGGCGTTCAAGTCCTTGCCTCCAAGAGTCGAAGGGCTTGTCATCTCTTCGTCGGCAGAAGGCGGCGGAAGGGTGGCGGAAGGACGGCGGAAGTAAAATGAGGCCGCCTCCGCCGGCGGACGCCAGCGGAAGGCTGGCGGAAGGTGGCGGAAGTAAAAAAACGCCTCCAGGAGATGACGACATGTTTGGGTTCCGTTTTTCTGGAATCGGCCATACGAGGGTTTGACGATAGTGATATTGATGCTCGCGCTGGTGCAAATGGTTTCGCGACTGGTGGCAATACGACGACGACGACGTTGGGAGCTGTCGCTTCACACAGGCATCCAACGCAGAGACGCAGATCCTCGGAGCCCGTCGCGCAGGTCAGCAGTCTGTGGCAGAAGGCCACCAGCGCTTGGAAGGGTGCCAGCACACGAGCAGGATGATGACTACGACGATAGTTTTGATGACGATATCGTCAATGATGATGGTGATGGTGTTGCCGAAAATGATGGCGCTGATGATGTCGATGATGCTGATTATGATGATTGGTTCCCACCATGATGCTGATGATGATGATGATGATGATAACGATGGTGATATTGATGATGAAATGCTGCTGTTGTTGGTGGTGGTGATCATGATGGTGAAGGTGGTGATGATGCTGCTGCTGGTGATGATGATGCTGATACTGATGTTGATGATGAAGGCGATGATGCTGATGATGATGTTGATGTTGATGATGACGCTGACGACGTTGATGACAATGACCCTGATGATGGTGGTGATGATGACGGTGATGACGATGACGATGATGATGACGATGATGATGATGATGATGATGATGATGATGATGATGATGATGATGATGATGATGATGATGATGATGATGACGATGATGCTGATGATGGTGGTGATGATGATGAGCGCGGCTGTGGGGGGGAACTCCACCCTTCAACTTCGAGTCATGCTCTGGATTCTCGACCGGCGGCCGATCCCGACCCGAGCTTCGTGGAAGAAGGAGCAGCACGAAAAGGGGCAGCATGAGCAAGAGAAAGAAGAGAAACAGGAACGGGGGAACGAAGATAGCGAGGACATGGAGCGGGGGGGGAATGGGTGAGGAGGGGGAGGAGGAGGAGGAGGAGGAGAAGGAAGAAGATAGGAGCGGGTTCTGTGGTCGCTTGGGGGCGGGGAGTTTTCAATTTGCGGGGGCCCCCCCCCCCCCCCCACAACATATGCGACGTCTGGAATCCTAGAAGCTGGGTGTACCCCACTCCCCTAGAAAGGTGGGGCTCCATCCTCTCGCCACCCCATTTGCGCAAGGGCTGCCCTCATTGGAGCAGTTTTTTATTTGCCGGCGCCAGATGGGTATGAACTAACCCCAGAGGAGGAGGAGGAGGAGGAGGACGAAGAGGAGGAGGAGGAGGAGGAGGAGGGGGAGAAGGACGACGACGACGACGGCGGCGACGTTGCTGACGACGACAACGATGACGGCGGGGCGGAGGGGACATTAAATGCAACCAGTTTTGCATCTTCTCCCATCAACCAGCCTGGGATGCATTCGATGTCCCGCTCGCCCGCCTGACTGAACGTCCTGCCCGTGGTCGTCGTCGTCGTCGTCGTCGTCGATAGTTTGTATTTCTCTTGCCCCACCTTGTCCCATCAACCAGTGGGGGTACATGTCATGTGAGTCAGCGTCAACATCAATCAGCGGGTTCTTGCATTCTATGCGGTGCAGTCTGGGTGCTGCAATCAATGTCGTGCAATCTAGGTGCACAGAAGGTGCCCATGCGGTGCAATCTATGTGGTGCGAAGCATTGCAAAGAAATGCAAAACAATGCGAAGCAATACAAAGCAATGCAATACGATGCGAAGCCATGCAAAGCAATGTGAGACAACGGCGAAGCATTGCACTGCGATGCAGAGCAATACAGAGCAATGCAAAGCAATGCAAAGCGATGCAAGGCAAGGCAATGCAATGCAAAGCAATGCAACGCAATGCAAAGCAATGCAACGCAATACAAGTCAATGGGCAACAGTGCACAGCAATTCACAACAAGGCAAAGCAATACAAAGGAATGCAAAGCAATACAAGGCAAACATTGCATGCACATGAGCAAGGCAAGTAGGGAAGACACAACAATATAAAGCAAGGCAACGCACCACAACACAAAGCAATGCAACGCACTGCAAACCAGTGCAATCCAATGCAAAGCATTGCAACTCACTACTAAGCAGTGCAACGCAATGTAAAGAATTAAGAAGCAATCCAACGCGATACCAGGCACAGCAGCGCAATACAAAGCAATGCAAGGCAAGTATGCAAAGCACAGCTATGATGTAAACACGCATGGCAAATCAGCAATACAAAGCAATGCAGCGCAATGCAATGCGATGTTTTGCGATGCGAAGCAATGCAAAGCGATGCAACATAATGCCTCACAATGCAAAGTTATACAAAGCTTGCGGTGCGAAATGGGGGCGGTGCAACGGGGGTCTGGGTCGGGGGCTGCACGGGGGGGCGGCAGTGAACGAGGACGGGGCCGCCGGGCCCGCAGACGGGCCCAGCTCCTTAGAAGAGAAGTGAGAACCCCTCCGTGCAAGCACTGCCTCGGGAATCTCCCGCCCGCCCGACTGAACGTCCCGCCCGTGGTCGTGGTCGTCGCCGCCGTCGGTGGGTTGAATTGCTTTTGCCCCAACTTGTCCCACCAAGCATAGAGGGTTACATTCAATGTCCTGCACGCCCGACTGAACGTCCCGCCCGTGGTCGTGGTCGTCGCCGCCGTCGGTGGGTTGAATTTCTTTTGCCCCAACTTGTCCCACCAAGCATAGAGGGTTACATTCAATGTCCTGCACGCCCGACTGAACGTCCCGCCCGTGGTCGTGGTCGTCGCCGCCGTCGGTGGGTTGAATTTCTTTTGCCCCAACTTGTCCCACCAACCATAGAGGGTTACATTCAATGTCCTGCCCGCCCGACTGAACGTCCCGCCCATGGCTGTCATCATCGTCGTCCTCATCGTCGTCGTCGTCGACTCGATGATGCCCTCCCCGTGGCGCCGGCAAGTGACGACGACGATGACCCACGCCCTGGCGCAAGCAAACGACGTTAATGATCCCACCCCTGGCGCCCGACGACGACGATGACCCTCTCCCCTTTGGCGCCGGCAAACGACGAAGAACGACGACGACGCCGACGACGACGACGACGACGAGGAAGAGGAGGAGGATGAGGAAAAATTTGTCGAGGATTGGGGTAGGGTGAGTGGAGGAGGGGGAGGGGGAGGGGGAGGGGGAGGGGGACAAGCTATGTGCGCTCGCGTCATATCTGACGTCCTACCCCTCCCACCCATCCCTTACCATGGCGCTGATTTTCTCTATCCGCGGACGCGTGTCGTAGCGGACCTGTGGCTCCGCGCGCGCGTGCGTAGTGGGTGGTGGTGCGCGTGCGTGCGTGCGTGTGTGCGTGGTTGTGGTTGTGGTGGTGGGTGGTTGTGGTGGTGGTGGTGGTGGTGTGTGTGTGCGTGTGTGCGCGTGTGCTGTGGTGTGACGTGGTGTGGCGTCTTGGTGGTTTGGTGGTGGGACAGGTGCGTGCGTGCGTGATGGCGGTGGTGGTGGTGTGGTGGTGGTGGTGGTGGTGGTGGTGGTGGTGTGTGTGCGCGTGTGTGTGTGTGTGTGTGTGTGTGTGTGTGTGTGTGTGTGCGTGCGTGCGTGCGTGCGTGTGTGTGTGTGTGTGTGTGTGTGTGTGTGGGCGTGTGTATGTGTGTAGGTGTGCGTGCGTGTGTGTCTGTGTGCGCGCGCGTGTGATGTGGTGTGACGCGGTGTAGCGTGGTGGTGGTGGGTGGGGTAGTGGGGTGGTGTTGGCGGTGCGCGGTGGTGGTGCGCGTGCGTGCGTGCTTGCGTGCGTTGGTGGGTGGAAGTGGCGGTGGGTGGGGCGGGGAGCGGTGCGGTGGTGGCGGGCGGATGGGCGCGCGAGAAGAGGCCCGCGCTGGGGCGAGAACGCCATCCTGAACGACGGAGGCAAAGCACCGATCCGAAAATGAGGCCCACGCTGCAGCGGGAGCACGATTCGGAACGAGCGGAAGCCCGAAAATGAGGCCGGCGCCACAGCGAGAGCAGCATTTTGAACAAAACCCAAGCGAAAGCCCAACTCCGGGAAATCCGGTGTGTAAAAAACAGTACGCGGAGGGGTGTCCGCCATCTTCCCCGCACGCCATCAGGGGATGGAGGATAGTGTATTCATATCGAGTAATTGTGGAATAGGAGGAGGAGGAGGAGGAGGAGGAGGAGGAGGAGGAGGAGGAGGAGGAGGAGGAGGAGGAGGAGGAGGAGGAGGAGGAGGAGGAAGAGGAGGGGGCTCGGAGGAGGAGGAGGAAGAGGAGGGGCAACGACGAGGGGAGGAGGTGGAAGAGGAGGAGAATTTAGGCACCCCGTGCTTCCTCGTGCAAGACCGCAGAATCCCGTGCGCAAGCGCCCCTGGCCTGGGCAAGTCGGATTCTGGATCGGCGGCGCGGCGGCCCAAGATCAGCCCCGCTGCTCCTGGCCCGGCAGCCCAGAACTGACCTTCCCTTGCCTCTGAGGTTCTCGCGGCGCCCCCGAGCTCGGGGAGTCGGATTCTGGGCCCAGCGGCGCGGCGGCTCCAACTGGGCCCCCCGAGGGCCTGGGCCGTGCGGACTCGCGCGCAAAGGCCCCGAGCGGGCTGGGTCTTATTCGGCGGCGGGGTCGGCCGCGCGGGGGGGCAGGGTTGGATTGGGCCTGGGCCAGCGGGGTCGGCGGCGCGGCTGCCCAGCACTTGCCGCCCTGAGTCGGCCCTGCGACCCATCTTGGCTTTCCTCTACCTCTTGGGGGCCTCTTGGGGCCTCGGGGCCTCTTCGGGGGCCTCCTGGGGGCCTCTTGAGGCCTGCTGAGGGCCGAGGGCTCGAAATGTCCGTTCGGGTTCCCCACCTGGGCCCCCTCTTTGGGCCGTTTTTGGGCCCTCTTAGGCCGTCTTGGGCGCCTCTTGGGCCGTCTTGGGGCCCTCGTGGGCCGTCTTAGGGCCCTCTTGCGGGCCTCCGGGGCCGTCTTGGGGCGATCTTGGGAGCCTCGTAGGCCCTCTTGGAGCGTCGGGACGCCGAGAAGGCGAGAACGCCACAATCTTTCAAAAACCATTGAGCAATTCATGATTTTGGTCTCTCGGTGCTATCTTGGGAGGCCTCTTGGAGACCTCTGGGGGCGTCTTGGAGGCCTCTTGGGCTGTCTGGGTGCCATCTTGAGCGTCTTGGAGCGATCGTTCGGCGACTCCAGGCCCTCTTAAGGCCGCATGGGGCCCTAACCTCCGAACAAGTCACGCGAGAAGCCGCGAGAAGCCCAAAGAGGGCACGCGGGAAGCCCAAAGAGGTGTGGCAATTTGGGTCCAGGCCTTTCACTCCTCAGGAGTGCCTAAGTGATGGGGCAAAGGACCCGAGGACACGCTCACTCCGTGCCCAGCGGCACGCTGCGGCTCGTTGACTGCCCTGATTCCCCATTCGCGCTTTGCCAGAGGGCTTGCATTGTCGTAGGAATGAGCCGCGAATCCCACCGGGTGGGGCGGGGAGCCCAGCACCGCCCAGTCTGGCAGCCGGTCCGGACGCCGTTCCGCTTGCGACTTCCTCACCATCTACTCCGGAACCCTGCTATCGCCCCGGTTCCAGCTCCACGTTTGGCGCAGACGGCCACGATCCCTGGTGAAGCATCCACAGCGCTGCACATGGCCGTGCTCTCACCCGTGTCCCGCCTGTCAGCGTTCCTAGGAGCCGGCCTCAGCCTCAAACTCCTCGACCTGGCTCGTCACCTTTGTTGCTGTCATAGTGCTTTGCTGGGGTAAGTTTGATTAAATGTATTTGCTTATCGGTCGTCTGCCTTCTTCCCCTCCGGATAGTGGCAGCTTCGTGGACTTCTGACTGAAGCCCTCGTCAGCGTTCCCTTCTACGTTGATTCCCTAATCGCGTCTCGCTGGAGGGTATGTAAAAAAGGATCGCAACAGAGTCCCTCAAACAGGCGGTGTGGGGAACCCGGGACCGCCCAATCGCAGCCGTCTCGCTTGAGGTATCGCGTTCTCCGCTCGATGCCAGCTACCACAAGGGGTGATGGGAGCCCGAGACCGCTGGGTCCGGCAGCCGTTTTGCTTGAGACTTCCTAACATGTGTTTCTTGACTCGTGATGTTCTCGCCTCAACGCCGTTTGCACGTTTTGTCCTGACGGCCACGGTCCCGCATGTCGTACAGGCCGCATAGGCAGGTTCCACAGGTGGTCCCGCAGGTTTTGCCATATGCCCCACAGGCCCCACAGGACACATGCCCCACAGGTCCTGCAGTTCGTCCAGGCGGCGCAGGTCCTTCCATGTTTCACAGGTTCCATAGGTCCCAGCTTGCCCAGCAGGCACACGGTCCCCCAGGTCCCACAAGCCCATCCAGTCATGATTCCATTGGTCCCACAGGTCCCACAGGTCTCACATGCCCCATAGGGCTCACAGGCCCCACAGGTGCCACAGGTACCACAGGTCTCTCAGGTCCCGCAGTTCGTGGAGCTCGCACATGTCCTTCAAGGTCTCGCACGTCTCACAGGTCCCACAGATCCCACATGTGCCGCAGGTCCCACAGGGCCCACAGGGCCCGCTGGTGTGGCAGGTCTAACAGGGCCCACAGGCCAAACAGGTCCCCCGAGCCCCACAGGTCCCACAGGCCCCACAGGTCCCACAGGTCCCACAGGTCGCACAATTCCAAAGCTCCCACCTGCTTTACATTCCCCACAGGTCTCGCAGCCCTCACATGTCCCACAGGCCACAGAGGTCCCACCGGTCCCACAGGTCGCGCGTGATGCACGTGCGCCACGGGTCCTGCAGGCCGTGCAGGCCGCACAGGTTCTATATTTCGCTCAAGTCTCACAGGTTCGACATTGCCCCCCAGGTCCCACATGTCCCCCCAGTCTCACCGCAGGTCGTAAAGGCCGCACAGGTCCCACAGGTCTCACAGGTCCCACAAGTTCAATAGACACCAAAGGCCGCGCACGTCCTACAGGTCCCACAAGCCCCATGGGCCTCACAGGCCCCACAGTGCCTCAGGCCCCACAGGTCCCTCAGGTCCTACAGGCCCAAAATGTTTCACGAGTTTCACAGGTCGCACAGGTCCCAGAGGTCAAAGGTCTCATAGGTTGCACAGGCCACACGGGACCCACATGTCCTCTGCTGTTACTAGCTGACCACTCTGCGGTTGATCGGGAGTTTCTGTATACCGAAGAAGGGGCGGTGCGCCCGTGTGCGCCCCGGCGCGCGCCGGCAGATCCCCGGATGTCGTCCCTGCTGCGCGGTGGGGCCTGACGTTCTCGCACGCGGGGACTCTCGAGCGAGAGCCCCAGACTGGGACACGCCCGATGCGCCCCGGCGCGCGCCTGAGGGTCTCCTTGAGGAGGCTCGGGGGGGCAGTTTTGGTAATGATGTCCCACGCGAGGGCGCTGGTTCGGATCTCGTTGCCAGATGTCTCTGAAACTGAACAAGGGAGCCTCTGAGGGCCTCCTTGTGGAGAAGGGGCTCGTGGAGCCGGCTTTCTGAGAATGTTTCATGCGAGCGTTGGTGTGGAATTCGTCGTCGGATTTCCAGATTTCCTGGAAACGGAACTACTCTATGGGCCTGCTGAGGGCCTCTTTGGGGAGGCTCGGGGTACCGATTTTCTGAGGATGTCCCACGCGAGGGCGCTGGTTTAAAATTCGTCGCCTGTGATCCAGGAATTATCCCGAACGGGACATTGGGGGGCGGTTGGCGGGCCCATTCCCTCGCGTGCCAGGGGTCAGGACGACGTGAATTCTCAAGACAAGCTCACTCAAATTCGGGTGCTTTACTGGGTTAGTCTTCATCCAGCGTCTCCCGCCATCTGAAGCACAGACGCCGCACTGTCGCACTCATTTGTCAGCTTGTCATGCAAGGGGTCGCCTGTCGCAACCGTCGCTCGTCCAAGCTGCACGGCCTGTTCGGTCAAGTTGAGCGCAGGCCCCTCCAAGGCCCTCTGCGCCGAGCTGTTGTCGATCCCTCCAGAGGACACCACGGACCTGCCCTCCCCCCCCCCCCCCCTCAGGCGAGTGCGCTCCTCTACCGTCCCTTTCCTCTGTCCTCCCCCCCCTTCCCAGCCTCCCCGCTTCGTTCTGGAGTGCCGCCAGTGTCTCCGCTGGCTCTCATCCGGACCCCTCCCCGGCAAGCAGACCCGGACTTTGGGAGGCTTCGAAGGGCGTGGTGGAGGAGGTCCGCAACGCCTCGAAGGCCAGCCGCCTTTCCCTCCTCTTTCCCCCCCTCCGCCGGGGACGAGGGGAAGAGGACGAGGAGGAGGAGGACAAGGAGGAGGATGAGGAGGAGGAGGAGGAGGAGAAGGAGGAGGAGGAGGAGGAGGAGGAGAGGAGGAACGGGGGGGGGAGGATGAGGAGGAGGAGGAGGAGGAGGAGGAGGAGGAGGAGGAGGGAAGGACGGAGAGTGAGAAGAAGGAGGATGGGGGCAACGACGACGACGACGACGAAGAGGAGAGGGGGAAGGTGTGGAGTAGGAGGAGATGGAGGCCGGAGGAAGGAAAAAACCGGCCAGAGGAGAGATAAGAGGGACGGCAGAGGGAAGAGAAGAGGGAGGAGGGAGCAAGCTATAGAGGGAGGAGGCAGGACGACCCGCCACAATCCCTGACAACCTTCCCAAGCATCTCCTCTCCCTCCTCCCTCCTGCTTCCCCTCCCTCCTCCTCCTCTCCATCGTCCTCCCTCGCGTCACCCCTCCTTCCTCCTGCTCCTCCCCGCGCCGTCTCCTCCTCGCCTTTCTCCGCTTTCTCCCCTTGCCTTCCCTCCTCATCCTCCCGCATTGTCCTCCCTCTCTGCTCCCTCTCCTCGCCTCCTGAAAGCCAGGTGCGCCCCGGCGCGCCCTAGGCGCGCGCTGGCAGATCCCCGGCAATGGCCCCTGAGGGCGCTGTGGGGCCTCTGACTTTCTCGCACGCCGGGGGTCGAATTTGGGAGGATATCTCGAGCGAGAGCCCCGGACTGGGACACGCCCGGTGCACCCCGGCGCGCGTCTGAGGGCCTCCTCTGGGAGGATCGGGCGGGCAGTTTTGTAATGATGTCCCACGCGAGACCGCTGGTTTGGATCTCGTCGCCGGGTGTCTTGGATATCCCAGTCACTGAACAAAGGAGCCTCTCAGGGCCTCCTCGGGGTCCCACGGGAGGGCGCCGTTTTAAAGTTCGTTGCCGGAGTCCCCAGGCTGCCCCGAAACAGAACAGTGGGCCTTCTGAGGGCCTCCTTGGGGACGCTCGGGGGGATGGTTTTCTGAGGATGTCCCACGCGAGGGCGCCGGTTTGGAATTCGTTTCCGGATTTCCTGGGATTTCCCCTAACGGAGGCGGTTGGCGGGCCCATTCCCTCGCGCGCAGAGGTCAGGATGACGTGAATTCTGAAGACAAGCTCGTTCAAATTACAGCGTATGTTGAAGGGCCTAGTATCTTCAGAACCCCGTCCTCCCAACACGATAATTGTCTTTCTCACACAGTCTGCTGGAGAACCCCTGAGACCTCTGGACAAATCCGCATCCACAGGCTTTTCTGAATACTTCGTGAAACCCTCGGAGACGTCTGGGGTTCCCCGCGGACCTCAAGCGGCCTCCGCCGAGTCGTCAGAAGCGTGCACGTCCATGGTGTGCAAGTCTCGATCATTCGTGGAAATAGCGCAATGGATGGGTAATGCGTAGGCTCGAATCCGAGCTTCTGCGCTTTGGGCGCCACGTTGTTATGATGTTATGACTGCGTGGTCGGCACGCAGCTGATCGCATTGATCATTCAGCTGTCCAACCTGTCAGACACTGGGTCGCATGCCAGCATGCAGACAGTGTAAGCGGGGTTATTGATATTTAGGTGTATTTGTTTGTTGGCATTTGCCTCGAACGTGTAAGACAGCTCACACTTGCTAGCTAATTCGCAGTCTCAGAAACCGTACTTAGGGTGTATGAGGCGCCCGTATGTCACCGTTCTACGTGAAAGCGTGCAGTTCCGCAATGTTTTGTCCTGAGCCGTTGGCGGGTGGGAGCTGGCTACGTACTATGACCACAAGTTGTCCTTTGCGTGATAATGCACATTTCCTGCTTAGAGCTTGCTGGTTTGCCAGACTTCCTAATGTTCGCCGTTGTCGCCGTCAAGGCAGCGGCTCGGACAAACTATCGCCCAAGTTTTGTTGCCGTGTTTGACACCCAGAGGGCGTTTCTGGGCCCAAGGCTCTCAGCAACAACACCGGGTGAAACGTCGGCCCCAGGAAAGGGTATCATGCACGCACGTACATGAGCAATCAGGGCGACTCAGTGCGTTCGGCTGTGATGCCGCGCTGCGCCTCTTAGGGTGCTTGCTGGGATGGTATCAATGTCTATCCAACTGATGTTGTCTTGTACAAAGACAAACATGCATAGTGTGTTTCAGTACTGCTCTTGACTGCACCAGCCGTGGCCGACCCCGCTTGCGCAGGACCTGGCCAAGAAAATCAGGCTGTGTGCTAAGGGCGCGCGCCTCGAGAATATGGATCTTCCGCCGTGTAGAAGGCCCGCGTTCGATCAACTGCGGGCGAAGTTATCGAATTCAACCCTCGCTGCGCCCAGCCTTGGGACCCGCTCCGCGTCCACAGCATCGGCCGCGGACAGAACGCTTCCCAAGTAGACGATGCTGTCCGTCTGCTCCACGTGTACGCCGCCCAGCTTTGGAATGCGAGCCTCGCACTTGACTGTCAGCACCTCGGATTTTCTCCAGTTGTGTATCGGTCCGTATTGTGTTCCCGCTCGCGCAATCCTTCGCATCTGCCCAGTCGCACCAAGTTGGCCACATCCGTGAACGCGGCATCGCCTGGGTCTGCCTCGACATCGTGGGGGAGAAAGTAAGATCATGACCTTGGCGAGCTGGCAGAGCGACAGTGGGCACTCCTGGCGGATTCCCGCCCTAGATTCGCCGGCCCGAAGTGGGTCCTACGACACTCACTGCGGGCAGCCTCCTCGAATTGATAGCGCGTACTGCAGCGGGCATCCGGTCCAGCAGGCCGAAAATGCCGAGGGCTACGATGAGCATTAGTATTATTTCGAAGGCCTTCGCCAAGCCGAGCGGTAAGAGGGCCACCCGTCCATTCAAGGCCTTCAGGTCTCGTCCAGAAGACGCCTCGCGAGGAAGATAGCGTCGGTGCAGCTGACGTTCGACTTGAGCCCTACTTGAGTGGCCCGTAGTGTCTGTGCTTCCCCAGCTACCCCTGGGAGCTACAATACGACAATTGCGTACAGCTTGTGCCTGGCCTTGAGGCGGCAGGTCTGCCGATCATTCTCGCACTTGGACTCGCCGTCTCTATGGAAGATGGCGGTGGCAAGCGCATCGCTCCACAAGAGCCGTGCTCCCAGCACTTCTGACAACGCGCTGTGGCCCATGTCCTTGCTGGCGTGCCGCCCGAGCACACTACCTTCCAGGCATCCCAACACAGCCGCAAGCTTTGCCCCATTTCATGCGACGCGCAGTGTCGGACACCTCGTCGTCCGTGATTGGCTGCAGGTTGACTCAGGGAAGAGTCGTCAGCTTCAGCCGTCGCTCTCTTGCTTGGTCCACTGCACCACAACGAATTATTCTGCCAGGGTCTCTGCATCGGTCTCTGAGTCTACGCGGCGGCTGGACATGTTTCGACGTCGTCATCCTTGCGGGCATGCCCTTTGCCTCTTTCCGAAAGCGCCTCAGCTGGATCCAGCCGCTGGAAGCGAGTAGGCTGTCCAGCCATTTGCTTATGTTTTTCTTGACCGAGTCCTTGGCAATTGAGTTAGTTTTTTTTGTTCGCGCTCAACGTGTCTTTGTCATCTTGTGTCTTCGTGATGTTCATCGTCTCGCAGCGTGCGGCCCGAACACTACTGTCTGCGGGGCGTCGAGCTGGCGGCGGGAACCGCGGCATCCACGGTGGCGCTGAAAGCTTTTGCCACGCTTCGATCCAACTCGTCGGCGGTAGTGTTCCCCTGGCCAACGTCGGGGATGTACTCCGCGAGCGTCAGGGCGAGTTCGAATTTTCCAAAGGCCACGGGAGGCGCATGGACGCATGGTCGTCGGGGACTCGACAAAATCTCGTTGCTGGATGACGGAGTCCCTCTCCACTCTGCGATGGTTCTAGCCTCTCTGTTCTCTCCCCCTCTCTGTCTCCCACTCTCTGCCCGCTCCACCTGTGCAGTGCCGCCCCGGGCTTGTCGAATTGGGGGCAGCTGGCCGGAGAGAACCGCGCCCTTCCAGGGCCGAGGTCGGCCAGGCTTCACCGCGCCACTCCTCCTGGAGTCAGCCTTCGGCCAAAGGAGCCCGTTGCTCGTCGCTCGCCCCTTGAGGTCCTGGCTCCTGGCTCCCCTGGGTGCGCCTGGCGGGCGCTCCGCTCAGCGGGCGGCCCGCCTGCTCCCTGGAGCCGCGCGCTCTCCGAAGGCCCCGCCCGCGCGCGCGCGGCCGAGCGGCGCAGCGACGTGCACGTCGTGGCGCGGCCCCGTCTCGTGGCCTCTCTGGTCCGAGGGCACCTGCTGCCTGGCATGCCCCCGGCGCTGCGCAGGCGGGGGCCCGTGCTCCTCCTCGTCCTCGTCCTCTTCGCATCGCCCGGACGTGTGCGTGCTTCTCGACGAGGCCAGCGCCAGAGAGTTTGGTACCATCTTGGAGCACCTTGGACGGCCATGAGAAAGCAGTTGCACGACGCCAAACACCGCACGGGGAATGGACGTCCGAGCGTTGGTGAGTTCTCGTTCCCTTTTCCCTTGCTGGGCAGCAGCAGCAGCAGCGCCGATGAGTCAGCTCACTATGTTGAATGCACCTTGGTGTAAGTTAACGCTTTTGCGCCAAACGCTATTTTACCTTTTGCTCGCGGTAGAGCCGTTCTCAGAATTCGGGGCGATGCCAAGAATTCCCCCACAAGTGTGCCAAGTAAGAGCGACTGATGATATATGTGAGCTTGGCCATTCACATTCCTTCGATGTGCTTGGCCATTTCGACGGTGCATTGTCTCCGTGCTCACTTTGTCACGTATTGGCACGTGGCCGTGAGGATGGCCCTTACGGGCGTCTTCGACGCATGTTCGACTTTCTCTTGTGACGAAGAGCAGCAGGGACAGCGTTAGTATGAGGACGGGGAGGAGATGGAGGGGTGCGGCGGGAGGAAGATGATGATGAGACCGAGGAGACTATCTCCTCAGGCGGTCGCCAGGCCCGCCCCGCGGTCCACAGACATCCTGTTGTTCGACTCTTGCCCAAGACGTGGGCCCCTGGACCTCGCGACCCCAGGGAACCTGCCACGACCCCTGGATTTTGCCCTCCGGGGCCTCTCTACCCACCGGTCGTTGAAAGTAGGTATTTTTGGATTCCCAGATTCCAATCTACTTTCAGCGCCTTCCTACTTCAAGAGTCGAGTGGTTTTCCTTCTTCCTTCCTCTTCAGGAGGCGGGCGGAAACCCAATCTATTTCCAACGCCTTCCTACTTTCTGTTTCTACCTACTTCTTCCGACCGATGGGTATGGGGGCCCAGACCTCCGACCTGCCCCCCTCGAGGGCGCAGGCCGGGACTCCTTGACCCGCCGGCCTCGCCCGTCCTCCAGGGAGCCCAACGACAGGCGCCCTCCGTCGAAGTCGGGGGGCAAGCTCCCCGGGGCCGCTTTTTGGCGGTCTTTAGGGCCCCGAGGCCCAAAACGGGCATCAAGCAAACACGACGTCCGAGGTCTGCGTGCATGGAGGTCCCCGGATCTGGGGGCCCTGGGGGCCCGGCGTCGCCGTCGCCGTCGCCGTCGCCTTCGCGGTCGCCGCCTTCGTCGTCGTCGCCGTCGTCGTCGTCGTCGTCGTCGTCGCCATCGTCGTCGTCGTCGTCGTCGTCTTCGTCGTCGTCGTCTTCGTCGTCGTCGTCGTCGCCGCTGTAGTCCTCGTCGTACTCGTCGCCGTCGTCGCCGCCGTCGCCGTCGTCGTTGTCGCCGTCTCCGTCGTCGTCCTCGTCGTCGTCGTCGTCTTCGTCGTTGTCGCTGTCGCTGCCGCCGTCGCCGTCGCCGTCGTCGTCCTCGTCGGTCGCGCGCGCGAGGTCCGACGCGATGAGGCCGCGGAGGTGTTGCAGGAGGCGCTGGCGGGCAAGGAGAGCCCGCCGCCGCAGTTCCGCGGACGTCGTTGACGTCGAGCCGAGGGTCGAGGTCGGAGCTGGCTGGGGGTCCGAGGTGGCCCAGCATCGGTTCTGGCCAGCCGGAGGGGGGGGTAGGTTCCAGGTTCTGGGTTCGGGATGTATATATATATATATATATATATATATATGACTTTTCCGGCCTGCGGGGGGTGTTTTCGGGCCCCTGGACAGTCAAAGACGGATCCTGGTTGAAAAATTGCGCCAGATTGGCAGGGGTCTGGGCACAGATTTTGAACGGATTTGGCTTCATCCCCCTTCCTGACCGATTTCCTGAGGTCCCAACCAGTTCTGACTTCCCTGCCGCCTCCAGGGTCGAGGAACTCTTCAAGTCCGGGCGCCGCAGTTCAAAAGTCGTAACGTCTGATCTGCTAGATGTTCCGGTATCTGGAGGCCCAGGGGGGGAGTAGATGGGGTCAGAGGGTCGCGCCTCATCGCCGAGGCATCGTCGATGCGGCTCAGATTTTCTCGACGCCGATGTCGCCGCTGCATTTGCGATTTCGCCGATGAATCGGCGATGCATCGCCATGCACTGGCGATGCGGCGCGATCCTCCAACCCCATCTGATTACTCAGACCCCACCTAGGAGGCCTCCATATCGGGAGTCTGTTTCCAGGACCCAGGACCCTCAAACAATTATGTTGCCGGCGTCGAGGATCGAGGGCGGCGGCCTGCTCCATTGTTAGGGGGCTGCATAGAAGCCCTCTTCTCTTCTCAGAGGCCTTCTTGGATGGCTCTATGCATTTTCAATATGCTGTGCCTCTTGGGCTTGCTCCCACGGCCTCCAAGACGGCCCAAGGGCGAGAGAGCCCCAAGACGGCCTCGCGGGGTCATTTTGGTTCATATGAGGTCTCAGGAGCGTCACGCTGTACGTCCCAGCAGCGACCAGCGGCGCAGGCCCTTTGAACGCAGTCAGTATTCTCGCATCCTTTAATACAGAAAGCTCGAATGGACGTGTGGGCGCCCGCCGATGCCCCAGTTGAGTTGTCCCGCCTACCCCTCGAGGAAGGGCTGGGCGGGCGCCCCAGGCTGCAGCGGGGGGAGCGAAGTACCCACTTTGCTCGTCTGCTTCCATATCCTGTCTCGGGGCCACCAGTGCGAGCATGCGAGTTCGCCTCCAGCTCCCAACGGCTGTACCACCACCACCACCACCACCACCACCACCACCACCACCACCACCACCACCACCACCACCACCACCACCACCACCACCACCACCACCACCACCACCACCACCACCACCACCACCACCACCTCCTTCTGTCATCGCTGCGCTCGTTTTCGTCCTCGTCGACCTTCTCCTCGCCGCAGCTGCGCGGCGCAGGAGCAGAGCCAGGTCATCGACGCCATAGGCCGGAGCCCCCCTCCTTGCCTCAAAAACCTCCTTCGCGCCGATCATTCGATTCTCTACGAGGCTCAGAAGCGTGCAAGAAACTCCAGGATGGAATGGAACACTGCCCCGGATTGAGGAAAGCACCTGGACGGTGGCCGAAGTTTCAGCCGACATCCACCACATAGGGTATGCTGTGGTCACCCTCTCGGGGGAGTTCGCTGGTTTCGGCCAGACCTGTGGCCCAGGAGGTGCCCGACAACCTTGTATTCCCCGCCTTCACCGCTCCGGATGCCGACGACGGCGAACCCTTCTGAACCCTTCTCCCGCGCACAAATCCACAGTGGGGGTCGAGCCTCGGCCCGATGTGTCAAAGGGGCCGCTCCATCTCACGACGGACTCCGCACAACTGCCGGACCCGCGCGCGAGAGGATCGCAGAGGAGAGCCCTGCCCGTGTCTCTGGCGTGGTGTGCCCTGTCGCTCGTGGAATGCCGCCCGTTCTCGCCGCGCCGGATGGGGGGCCCACTGCCCACGCGAACTTGGTGGCCCGCTCATCATCGGAGGCTCAGAGGTGGGATCTGCAGGGGCAGGGCCCTCAGCATATGGAAGGGCTTCCAGGTTAGATCTGCATTGTTCAAGGCCTCCTCGCCACTGGGCCTGTGTCTCAGGGCCCCATCTTGGAAGTGCCGACATTGAGTACATGTTCCATTTCCTTCCGATCGGTCCGATCCGATATCGATTTTGGCTGGCCCGATCTGGTTCGCGTTCGATGTTCCGACGATCCGATGCGACCCGATGCTTGCACAGCGTAGTTGTGCAGCTGGGCGTGGCCGTCCGATTCGGTTCCGAGACTATTGGCGCGGCTCGATCCGATGCACATCCCGAACGGATCCGATTTCCCGATCCGATGGCGACTGACCCCGCAGTGCGCGCGCGATCGCCGCAGAATGAGATCCCCGCGCCCCGTGCTGCGTGCCCCCGGGCCCGCGGTGCTCGCCCGCCATGGCCTACGTTGCATCTTCGGGGGACCTCGTCTGTCCCCCACCCATATCAATGTTTTCTCTTGTGCCCGACGCGCGCTCGGTGCGGACTCGACGCGGATTTGGCGTGGATTGGACGCGGATTCGACATGGATTCGGCGCGGATTCAGCGAGTCCGACATGTGTTGGACAAGTATTCGAATCAGATGGGCGCGTCGGGCCAGACACGGCTTCCGAAAGATGCAACATGACGTGGCGAGGTGGGGCCCATCATTGCTCTGCGAGTCCAGCAGCATGTTCGCTAGGCACGAGTTTCTTGCAGTTCCGAGCGCGTCATCTCTGCCGACGCAGTCCCAGACCTCCAATCTTTGGAACAAGGTCAGGACGGCGCTTTTTGCCATGTGTTTACCGCTGGGAGCCGTTTTCAAGTCCAGGACCGTCAACGATCTGGGATGAAACGCATTTCTCCAGGAAGGGGTCAAGCGGAATGGGGGCCGCGTATGTCATCGAGGGCCAGTGATAATCGCCACCTTCAGCATGATCGTCCGTCAACATGTCCGTGCGGTCCAGGTGCGACCAGTGGCCCTGGGCGGTGGCGTTCGGGGTTGGTAAACCCTTGGCGGCGTCTGGAGATCCCCGACTGCGGAGTTTGTTGAGGAGCTGAACTGTTCACCCGGAGACTGAACCCAGAGCCGACGTCGTCATGGAAGGACCCTGTTGTATTTTCTCTCCGCGCCTCTCCGTCTTCGACCTTGTTTCTGCCCGAGAGAGACTGTGGTGCGAGCGTTGCCGGCGAAGCCTGGCGGGTGCACGCACCTGTGTCAAGAGGAGGAAGTAGACTCAAGCACACATTGAAGTTGCCGCACATGAAAAAAGTAAGGACACTATCGGAAAAACAAGGGGAAATAACCGTCCATACTATGGATATCTCGATATATATATATATATAGATGGATCTATACACACATGAGTACAACAATATTGGACGTCGTGGAGTTCGTGCCGAATTGTTGATGCCGCCCTGGGCCCCTTTCGTGTGGGCTCCTCGTCCCCCCTCTTGCCTCTCCGGTGGCGCTGCTCGGCGCCCCGCCGACGGCGTCTGACGCTCACGTGGTCGCCGCACCTCGACGGCAAACGTCAGCAGCGGACACGCTGCACCGCAGGCTGCGCCAGTCGTGCGACACTCCCTCCGCGGCGAGCGCGGGGGGGGAAGCGAGAAGCATGCACACGTCCAGGTGATGCCAGGGACTTGAGCCTCATGGTGGCCGTTTCCAAGCCAAGGGACACTCGGGAGCTGATGCGGGGGTTTGCACGTGTACCCCAGGAGGATTGGGTCCAACCCACATGGGTCGGCGCCGAGCGAGGGAGGGGAAGTGAAGAAGGGCGGGCCTTCCCAGAAGGCTCGGAAGTCCCCCGGCCTTCTGAGAAGTTTTCTGAGCCTTCCCCGGAGAAGCAAACAACCTTTTCAGAAGGCGCGAGGGCCTCTGAGAAGTCCCGCCGCCTTCTGAGAAGGCCTTCTCCTTCTCACTCTCCCCCCTCGCTCGCCGTTCGTCGGGGCAGCACTGCGCCCCTGGGCTGCGCTTTTCGGACCCATTGCCGTCTCTTGATGTCGGGCCAAATGAAGCGTGGATACTTATTTCTCCTTCGGGTCGGCCTTAGCCAACCAGCTTTTGCAGCGTAGATGCCCAAGCGCCTTGCATCCGCACCTTGCATCCTGACTATTTCCCCCTATGTGTGCGGTAAGTTCTCGCCGCATTGTCGCGGCGGTGTGCCAGAGCTGGCGTTCAAGGTTGAACACCGCCAGTGGCCCAGAACCGGCCGACATCGAACGATTTGTGCCATCAGAAATGTGTAACTAATCGTCCAAGTCTGTACGCTGAAGGATGCACGCGGTGTAACAAACAGACAGGAACCTGCCGTACCGTGTTGGCCTCGACTGTAGATATTTTGGCGCAGGGCCAACCCACTCCAGCGGCGGCCGGGGCCAGCGTGGGCCAGCGGCGGGTGCGATCCAGCGTGGGTCAGCGGCAGCTGGCTGTGGGTGCGCCAGCGGCCGGGGCGAGCCAGCCTGATCCAGCGGCGGCTGGGGTCGGGGACAGGCAGGATTCAGCGGCGGCCGCGTGCGCGCGTGGGCCAGCGGCTGAGAAAGCGTGGGCTCGAGATGGCGCCTGGGGCTGCGCCAGGGCGCTTCTGCGACCTAGAGGCCGGCCGCGGCATTCGGGTGTACTACGAGTTCCATGGGCCCAACAAGCCAGCCTGGCAGGGCGAGAAGGAGGATCGCGTCGTGAAAATCACGACGGGAGGGTGTTGGTCGTTTTCGGCTTTGGGGGCCCTTCTGCGCCCTGGGGCTCTTAAAGCAACCCGGGGCCGCGCCCCAGGATAAAGACGGCCCCGGGGAAAGGGGCGACACCTCCAGGGGTCCATGTCGCAAAAAATGCGACGTCGGAGATCTGAAGACCAGAGAAACATACCGATACCTACGCCTTATATCTACATAAGGCTAGCCAGCGCCAAACCTAAACAGTACGTTTTAGCATGCCTTGCATGTTTCAGCATACTCTGCTCTGCGGAGCCGCTCTGACCACTGCCGTCCGACCAGCTGTCTGTTCGGAGGGAGGGCGGTGTCTGTTCGGAGGGAGGGCGGGACGAAGGAAGGTGGACAGGAGCGCACGAAGAAACAAGTAGACGATGACGACACTAGATATGTTAGACCAGGGGCCCGTTTTACGGCCCACACAGTGATAGGTCGCGAACCCCGCCAGCGCGTTCGCACGCCTTCTCTTCACAACAATTCATCTTGTGACTCGCTCAGCGGGAAGTTTCGTCAGCTGCACATTCGTGCACACATGCATCATTGCTCATCTCTCTATAATTCATTCCTTTCCCCACTATCGTATTCCCTTCGCCTTCCTTCCTCTTCTGTGGATACGAGGACTGGCTGGATCACTTCAGGCATACCTCTGTTCCTTCTGACCGTTTGACATGTTCACCACCTCTGAGAGGTATTCCGTGACATGAGCATTTTGCCGTTGCAAGGTCCGATGCCGCCTGCGCAGTGCAATCTTGCGTTGCAGCCCATGCAGTGCCAATCAATGTGGGACAATATCCGCGATGCAATCGACGCGGTACAATCTTAAGTTGCACCGCGTTGGTTGCACCATGCTGCGCTATGCTGTGCTGTGCCCTTCTGTGCTCCGCTCAGTTAAGCTTGCCAAGTTCAGCTAAGATAAGCTGTGCTGCGGTAGGCGGGTATGCTGTGCTATGCTATGCTGTGCGAGCGGACGAGTGCGAGTGGACGGGTGCAAGTGGTGGCGACTGACGGCGGCGACGGGCAGCGACGGGCAGCGACAAGCCGGCCGGACCAGCACAGGGGCCCAGATCAAGTGACGGCGACGGTCGGCGGCGACGGACGGCGGCGACGGGCGGCGACGAGCCAGCCGGACCACAACCGCAGCCCATGTAATTCTACATAAGTAAGAACCCCATCCGCGCAAGCATTGTTAGGTGAACGTGTCTATACGTGAGCCAGCGTGGACCCCAAACAGTGTGCGTGTCTAGCAATATTCGTTGTGCAGTCTATGTGGAGCCATCTTTGTGGTACAATCTATGTGGCGCACTTGATTTTTTCAAACGAGTTGACACATTTCATGCTCTTGCAAACATGCCACCCGCCCACCCGCAACTTGATTTGCTAAACCCATGCGGTGACGATTGCGATGTATGCTTGGCGTTGGCTGTTGCATCTCTGCGGCCGCGCCAATCCAAGCACGCGCGCGCAGCGGCCAGCTACTTTGGCGCGACCGACGCCGCCGCGGTGGCGCTGACCGCTGGGCACATCCCAGCGGGCACTTCAGTGCGAGTCGGCAAGTTGGGCGGGCGCGGTATCAGGGCAGCGTCGACAAAGGTAGACACGATGATGATCGTAACGAGGCTGGTGACGATGTTGACAACGACGACGGCGCGGCCAGTGCGGGCGCCGATGCCGATCACACCGACGACGATGACGCCGTCTTCTCGTCGGTGATGAACGTTTTGGGAAGAGTTCGACATGCGCGCGCGGCCGACGCGCGAGAGTCGCTCGCAAGTCTTATTTGACACGGATCGTGCACTCCCTCCCCAGCGCGCGCGATGGGGCGTGCGAGTGTTTTCGGCATGCGGCGCGCGCCAAAGGCTGTTTGGCATAATTCAATGAGCATGCTGAAAACCTCTTTGCTTCCTTAAGAATTCGCAACGCAAGAGCGCGATCTGACGGTGCGAAACAGTGTGTTGTTATTTGTTTGTTGGGCATTCGGTTGCGAAACCATTACGAATACGACTTTTGTTGGCGGATTTTGGCACGCTCGCGCGACGACGCGCGCGCGTGCGCTTTGTTTCTTTTCGTTTGCAAAAGGATCATCGCGACGCCACGCGCGCAAGGGCGTTCAAACGATTTGGGCATGCGCGCGCGAAACCCGGTTGGTACAATTTTCTGAACAGGTTGAGAACTTGCGCTTTTCCAGCTGAAATTCGCAAGAGTGTGCGCGCAAATTTTGTTTTGAACACCGGTGTTGCGAAACCCTGTGGTTTCGTTTGGACATTCGATTTGGGATTTCTTAAGAAAACGACGGTTTTGAAGGATTTCGGCATGCGCGCGCGACAACGCGCGCGTGTACATTTCGTCATGTGTTTTCTTGGCGAAAGGGGTGGTTGAAAACTTGTGATTTGTGATAAACGAGTGTGCGCGCATAGTTTTTTTGCAGGGCATGGCGGGGGGGGGACCGGCTTGGCTGGGATGGTACGAGTTCAAATTCAGGATGGACGATAGGACATGATCAAATGTAAATTGCAACACGCAAAGGGTCACTGATAATCCCAGAGGGGGTTGAGCCTGTTTTTTTTTTTTTTTAAAAAAAAACAGGAAATCTCAGTTTGCAAAACTTGAAGTTGTCAACCCCACTGCTTGTGTAATCGTTCCACTCGCCCACCTGCAACTTCGTTTGCAAAACCAATGCGGCGGCGATTGCGACGACTTGGCGCTAGTTCGCTAGCTGGCTGCGCATCGCTGCGGCCGCGCTTGCGCGCGCAAATTCGCTCGCAGACTGACCAAGTAGGTTGGCGCGACCGACGTGGCCGCGGTGGCGTTGACCGCTGGGGAATTCCCAACGCATTTTGCAGGCCGCGCTGGCGCGTGGACACTTCGTTCAGAGTCGGTGAGTTGGGCGGTTTCGGTATCATGGTGGCGTCGACAAATGCGGACTCAATGATCATAATAGCGATGATGGTGGCGATGGTGGTGATGACAAAGGCAATGCCAGTGACAGCGCCGATGCTGGTCACGCCGATGGCAGTGCCGGTGTCCACCTGTCGGCCTAGACGGTTGTGAATGGCTTTCGACATGCGCGCGCGGCCGACGCACGCGAGTGACCCGCGCCGTTTGTTTGACATGGGCCGCGCCCTTTTCATCAAAGGCGAAAGAACAGCCGAATGAATTCAACTTGCGCCCGCGAGAGGCCTGCGTGGTGCATTGAAACAACGTATGTGATTTATAATTCAGGCTTCGCTGGAGCATGCGCGCCGACCTGTTTTGACACACGATGGGTTGAAACCGTGTGTTGTCTTGCTTTCGGGAAGCTGCATATTGAAATCCTTACGATATTGACGGTTGTTTGTCGGTTTGGCATGCGCGCAACACCGCGCGCGTATGGATTGTGTGAATGTTGTGTGAAAGGTAAGTTTGATGATGTTTGATGAACGCGCGCGCGTATATAACATTATTGGACATGGATGAAATGGGGCGAACATGTGACTAGTTGGGATGGTATAAGCTAACATGTAAAACGAACGATGGGGCAGAACCAACAGTACATTGCAGTGCCCAAGGGGATGTTGATAATTCCAGGGGAGGTGCGTTTATAGTTTCTTTGCCAAAAAACGAGATGTGATGTCTTGTCACATACGTTGTGCGGTAGAGGTTTCGCAATCAATGTGGTGCGGTTTTTTATGTGTCGCAGTGGTTTGACAACTCCACAATGCACAGGTCCCCCCCCTTGTTCACCATTCTCTAGGGGAGCATTTCGATTAGGCCCGCACGGGAGCTCCACAATGCACTTGCCCTGATCAAGGGCGCCATGTTGGCAATCATGGTTTACATGCTGTGTTCCTCGGACTCGGGCACGTTTGGGACGCACATGGGACGGTCTTGGGCGCACCGTCGCCTGGACCTGGCACGCATCATTTTCGAGCGGGTGCGCTCTGGATCTGGCCTCCATGAATCGAGCCGGATCGGGGCCAGATCCCAAGGCGGGAATCGGTGACACCTCCGTTTCAAACGCACCATCCTTTGGAATGGGATCCAGGGGTCGAGCTGGATTGACAAACAAGCCGAAGATGACGACTGGTGACCACCAAGACCCCAAAGAACAGATTCGGTGGTGCGATTTAATGTTTGGCCACCGTGAGAACTCTTGGGCTACCTCCCTCCTCCCACCCCTCCCTTTCTGGTGCATTATGCCGGCTGGTACATTTTACTTGCTGTTAGATTTTGCTAGCAGGTGCATTATTTCTCTTTTATTATTCGTATGTTCCCCGCCATCAGCTTACATTCATCTTCGATTGGCGAGTCGTTGTTGGGAACATTCTTGCAGGACCGTGAAAAGGAACTGTCATTGTAGGATCGCCAAGCAGCGGCAGTCCGAGTTGTGCATCGCGACTCGCCCTTGGGTGGTTTTGCCTTGAACGCGCTCTGGCCAGGGACGCCAGTCGAGAGGTCCTGCAGCGCTGCAAATCCAACCAGACCTCCGATTGGTGAGTCTTTTATGGAGACCTTCTTGCAGGACCTCGAAAAAGATAAGTAGTTCAGCAGGCTCGCAATTCTGGATTTCCGTCGCAATTTCTCGGCGCAAGGGCATGCCAAGATCGCCAGAGAAGGGCCTGGCTCCAGCACGACGTCAAGGCTGTTCAACGGGGCTCCATGCCTCTTGGGGCCATTTTGGCGCCACTCTTGGAGCTCTTCCTGGCCCCTTCTTTGGTCTTCCTCTCAATCTCGTCGGGCCTTCGCTTTGGGGCCCTTTTCGGAAACCTTCTGGCTTTTCTGGGGGGCAATTCTCAGTATTCTCTCGAGGCCGCATTGAGGCAATGTTTGCGCCTTCTTGGGAAGCCTCTTGGAGCCCTTATGTGCTCTGTCCTGGGACTTCTCGGGGCCCTCTTCGAGCCTCTCTTGGGGCCCCCTTGGGGCCCCTCTCGGGGCGCTCTTGGGATTCTCGTGGACTGCCCTCTGGAGTTCTCTTGGGCCCCCCTTGTGGCGCCCTGCGGATCATCGTAGAGCGCTTTTTGGGGGAATCGTCCCTGCTCGGTGCAATATCTGTTTACCCCACGATCAAGCCATGTGTGGATAATTCCTGACGCTGCATGTGTGCGCACGCATTTGCACGCAGCTGGGAGATTGTCAAGGGCTGGAGCTTGCTAGAACCTACGCGCGCGAAGTGCGCGCGTGTATCTGGTTCAGATTTACGATGAAGCATGGTGCATGGTCATATCTAGGCTGTATCACCTAATGGGGGAACCGATAAGACGGGGGGTGGTAGATCCGAGTTCATTTTCAGAAAGGAAGGACATATACGTGGTGCAATCGTCGCTCTGCAATCTCTGTGGCGCAGTCTACGTTGTCCAATCTAGGTCGTGCAATCTACGCCGCCAGACCGCCAGCCAGGCCCAGACGACTGGCGGCGACGAGGCGGCGACGAGGCGGCGGCGGCAACATAGCAGCAACCCGTCACCCAGGCCAAGACGATTGGCGGCGACCAGGCGGCGACGGGGCGGCGGCGGCGGCAACATAGCCGCCAGACCGCCACCGAGGCCAAGTTCCTCAGAGAAGAAGTAAGAACCCCGAAGTGCAAGCACGGATCGGGGAATAGCTATATATCTCTCTGTCTCTTTATTATTATTTATTTGTTTTTCTTTCGTTCTCTCTCTCTCTCTCTCTCGCTCTCTCTCTCTCTCTCTCTCTATATATATATATATATATACATACAAAAACCAACCAACTTGGAGGCGTGCCACCCGAGGATCATGAGATAGATGACCGTGCACGTAATAGTTATATGTGTCCTCCCGCCCTCTGAGCGCGGGAGGGTGTCCATATACAACGCTGCGCGGGCTCTTGGGGGCATCGCCCAGCCTGGTGGATACCCTTCTCTCGGTCTCGCCTATTGCGGCCCTCCGCTGATGGCATTCGTCGCCACGGCTGCGTTCGTGTTAGAATCTCCGTCAGGACGCACCTTGGGAAAGGTCCAGGAGATGTGGCAAGGCGTGGGGCTGCGCGAAGGGCAGCTTTCCGCGTTACCCCACGGGCTGGCCTGACCCACAGGCCTCCCGTGGAGCCCAGGGCGGTCTCCACAACCACGAGCCGCCTTCGGCGGCTCTCCAGGGGTGCCCCGCGCCCGCGGTTTCGAGCGTGGAGACCGCCACCAGCGCTACTGTCGACCTGGTGAGGCCGGCCACGATGCTCCGAACAAGTGTGATAACAAAAACAAGTGTGAGAAAGCACAAGTGTGATAAAAAAACAAGTGAGATAATTTCGCACTTGTTTTTTAATCACAGTTGTTTTTTATTACACTTGTTTTTTTTATCACACTTGTTCGGAGTACGCCAAACCCTGTCGAGGAGCTGCTCCTTCTGCTCATGGGCTCTGCCGCCGACCTTCGCAAGACCACGGACCAGCAGTACATCAACCTCGCCTCGCAGTTCTTCCGGATCCTGACGTACGACCACCGGAACACCGGCCGGACGACCGTCAAGGACGAGCCTTGCACGATGGCGGATTACGCGGACGACGCCGCGGCGTTGCTGGAGGCCGTGGTCCCAGATAGGCTGCCCGTGCATGTCCTCGGTGTATCTTTCGGCGGCATGGTCGCCCAGCACTTGGCGATCCGGCACCCGCACCTCATCAAGAGGCTGGTGCTGTGCTGCTGTGCCACGGGGGGCACGGGGGGGTCGTCGTACCCGATCCACGAGTGGTACGCGCCCGGCGTTACCGTGGAGGAGAGAGTCGTCAGAAAGGCGTTCCAGGCCAACAGGGATCGGGACGAGGAGTGGAGGGAGAGATCGAAGGCCGAGTGGGCGATGGTGCAGACCCTCCTGACGCGGGACGAGCAGGTGGGAGCCGGGGAACCGCTGCGGATGGAGGGCCTCGTGAGGCAGCTGGACGCCAGGAGGGAGCACGACACGTGGGACGAGATCGGCCGGCTCCAGATGCCCGTGCTGTGCCTCGCCAGCGACAGGGACGGCATCACGCCAGCCGCCCTGACGCGGGCCCTGGCCGAGCGCATCGGGCGCAACGCGGAGGCGAGGCTGGACTTCGGGTGGGGCCACCCCTTCGTCGCCGCGGACGCCACGGCCATGCCGTACTCGGAGGCCCAGAGGTGGAAACCAGCACCAACTATCGGCGGTGTGCCTCCACCGAGGGAAGAGGACCCCGATCTCGGCGATGTTGGGAACATTCGGGCTGCCTGGGTAGCCGAAGCATGACCGACAGCGCCAGAAGCCGCCAGGAGCAACTTCCCTGGGTGGAGGCACCCCCCTCGTGCTGGTGCTGGTTGACTTGGACTTGTTTTCCACTTCCCCCTTTTCCTCCCTCCTCGCCTCCTCGTCCTCCCCCTCCCCCCCTCGGCCTCCTCGTCCTTGCCCCCCTCCTCCCCCTAAAAAATATATATATATATATATATATATAAAAAAATCGTGCTGGTGCTGGTGCCCACTTCCATGCCTCCGCGCGTACGTGAACTCCTGGCTCCGGGGCCCGGGGCCCGACCCCGGCGCGCCCGCCGGCCAGCTCTGGAGGGTGGTGGGCGGCACGGCCGGCGGGGGCATCATCTCGGGCCAGGCGAAAGGGGGGGATTGGGAAGGGGGAGGGTTACGAAATCTGCTGCGTGCAGCTGGTTTCGGCCCCACCGAGGGCCCCATTCCTCGATACATAGCCGCCTCCGGCGCCGGGAGGCGCCGGGAAAATCAGCTGCTTGAGCTGATTCTCAAACCCCCCCTTTGCTATCCCCCCCTTTCGCCCGACCCGATCATCGTGCGCGAGGGCGAGGCGCTGAGCTCGGCGCAGGCGGCGGAGAGGCTGGGCCACGGGGCGCTGCTGCGCGAGGTGCGGCTGAGCGGCGACCGCCTGAGCTACGAGCTCCTGGAGGGCGCGGGCCCGCCGGCCGGCTGGGTGAGCGTCGGGGTCAAGGGGCGGCGGCTGTGCGCCAGGGCGTGAGGCCCTCGAGGCGCGCCGTGCGGCGCGCGCTCGCGCCTGGTCGTGCCCCCTCCTGCTCCGTGCTCTCGCTCTCTCTCTCTCTCTCTCTTCTCTCTTCTCTCTTCTCTCTCTCTCTCCTTCTCTTTCCCTCTACCTCTCTCTCTCTCTATCTCCTTCTCTCTCCTTCTCTCTCCTTCTCTCTCCTTCTCTCTCCCTCTCTCTCCCTCTCTCTCTCTCTCTCTCTCTCTCTCTTTCGAAGAACAAGGAAAGAGCTGCATAGACATACATTTTGCACGGTCCGCGCGGACTTCTTGGATCGGCGCTGGGACCCCCTGTCCGGGCCTCCGGCGGCGCCCCTGGCGCGCTCCGCGCGCCATGGAGAGGGGTCCAGCGTGGATCCGAGAAATCCGCGCGGTCCGTCCAAAGTAAGTGTTTATGCGGTCGTTCGTTCCTCAATTCAATATGTCTGTCCCGCTGTCTCTCTCTCTCTCTCTCTCTTCTCTCCTCTCCCCCGCTTCCTCCTCCTCCTCCTCCTCCTCCTCCTTCTCCTGTTACATCAAGGTAGACAAGGGGCTGGGCTCGTTAAACGGTACGTTGGCGATCTCACGGGCCGCTTTCGTTTTGATTTCGTTTTGCAGCAAAGGCGGAGCCAAGACGGACCGAGGGAAAACAACACGAACACGGAAAACACTTTGTCGCTCGAGCTCTGGACAAGAGGGTCCTGGAGGAAAGGGTTGCTGGAGATGTGCCCCGCTCTCGGCCTCCAGGGGCCCTGGCCGGTCCGCAGGGGCGCCCAGGAGCGACCCATGCCGGGCTGACAGACCGGTCCCGGAGGAGTTCCGGGGAAAGTCCGGGGGTCCAGGACCCGCTCCCCGCAGAATCTCGAGACTGCCCGCGTGCAGCAGCAGGGGGGGGGGGCGGGGCGAGGGGGGGCGGCCCTGCCCCGAGGGCACCCCGCCTCGGAGCAGCCCCGCCGCCTGGCCGAGCCTCGGGGGCCTCTGCGCGGGGCCCCTCTCTCGGGACCTCCCCCCCCTCTCCGCTGCCTTCTCCGGGGGCCAGGCCCGCGCCGCCAGCGCGAGCTGCTCGGCCTCCTCTGTGGTCGGCTGGCTGCCCTCCAGGGCAGGCGGCGGCGAGGGGCAGCCAGGCCGACCAGGGCAGATGCGGCCGGCGTCGGTCGGCTGATGGTAAGTCTACCGCTTTCGGCTGTCGTCCGCGGCCTTCCCAAGGCTCCGGGGGGCACACCCGCATGCGGGACGCGGGCAATGGGGGGGGACTGCGCTGAACAGAGTGAGGGGGCCAAACGGTCATTCATTGTCCCTGGGTGCGTGGCTGAAGTGTGATTCCGTGGTGAGGATTATGCTTGTTGTTGTCGTTGTCGTTGTCGTTGTCGTTGTCGTTGTCGTTGTTGTTGTTGTTGTTGTTGTTGTTGTTGTTGTTGTTGTTGTTGTTGTTGTCGTTTTGTTGTTGTTGTTGTTGTTGGCGTTGTTGTTGTTGTTGTTGTTGTGATTGTTGTTGCTGTTGTTGTTGTTGTTGTTGTTGGAGTTGTTGTTGTTGTTGTCTTGTCTTGTCTTGCCTTGCCTTGCCTTGCCTTGCCTTGCCTTGCCTTGCCTTGCCTTGCTTGTCTTGTCTTGTCTTGTCTTGTCTTGTCTTGTCTTGTCTTGTCTTGTCTTGTCTTGTCTTGTCTTGTCTTGTCTTGTCTTGTCTTGTCTTGTCTTGTCTTGTCTTGTCTTGTCTTGTCTTGTCTTGTCTTGTCGTCGTCGTCGTCGTCCCCCCCCGCGACCCGGCCCGCGACCCACCCGCGACCCAGCCCGCGACCCACCCGCGACACACCCCGCGACCCAACCGCGATCCACCCGCGATCCACCCCGCGACCCGCTCGCGACCCACCCTCGACCCACCCGCGACCAACCCGCGACCCGGCCCGCGACCCACCTGCGACCCACCGTCGACCCACCCGCGACCCACCTGCGACCCAACCCGCGACCCACATCAGAGTGAGGGGGCCAAACGGTCATTCATTGTCCCTGGGTGCGTGGCTGAAGTGCGAATCCGTGGTGAGGATTGTGCTTGAAATTTCATTTCTGGAAAATAAGTATTGTTGAGCCCCCCACCGGTGCATACTGTTTTTCTTAATCAAAGTGTGCCCCTCGACGCTCGCACCCCGATGTTTGACAGGGAAAGTCTTGATGCTCAAACTGTTCCCTTGGCCCCCATGTTACAACAACAACGGCTCCCGCCCGATACGTCCTCACAATTTAGCCAGGACCCCAGCTCCCGCCCGAGACTTCCTCGCATTTTATTTAGGAATCGCACTCTCGCTGGGGACTTCTTCACATTTTTTTCAAGAATCGCTCTCCCGCCGCTCTGGGGTCGCGCTCTCGCTGGAGACTTCTTTGCAAACGATTGACGAATAGCGCCCTTGCGTTGGAATTTCCTGCAATTAACTCAAGCGCCGCGCTCCCGACACCCAGGCGCCCAGGAGTCGCGCTCACGCTTAGGACTCCCTTCACAGATTACCTAGGTATCGGGATCTCGATGCCCTTCGTGGCCCCGTTGGAGCCCTTCGTGGCCCCCTCGCTTTGTTTCGTGGCCCCGTTGCAGCCCTTGGTGGCCCCCTCGCTTCCCTTCGTGGCCCCGTTGCAGCCCCTCGTGGCCTCCTCGCTACTTTTCGTGGCCCCTTTGCAGCCCTTCGTGGCCCCTTTGCAGCCCTTCGTTTCGGGGCCCGTTTGAAGCCCTTCGTGGCCCCGTTGCAGCCCTTCGTGGCCCCGTTGCAGCCCTTCGTGGCCCCGTCGCAGCCCTTCGTGGCCCCCTCGCTCACCTTCGTGGCCCCGCTGCAGCCCTTCGTGGCCCCCTCGTTGCCCTTCGTGGCCCCATATGCATGCCCTTCGTGGCCCCGCTGTCGCCCTTCGTGGCCCCCTCGCTGCCCTTGGTGGCCCCCTCGTTGCCCTCAGTGGCCCCGTCCTTGCCCTCCGCGGCCCAGCATACGTATGCCCTTCGTGGCCCCTGCTCGTTCGCGCACGTTGTGGCCCCATGTGCGTCCCCTTCGTGGCCCCGCTGTCGCCGTTTGTGGCCCCGTCAGTGTCTTGCGTGGCCCCGTTGCTGCCCTCAGTGGCCCCATCGTTGCCTTCTGTGGCCCCGCATTATCTGCCCTTCGTGGCCCCCGCTCGTTCGCGCTCTTCGTGGCCCCATACGCATTCCCTTCGTGTCCCCGCTGCCGCCCTTCGTGGCCTACTTCGTGTCCTTCGTGGCCCTGCTGTCGTTCACTCTCGCTCTCGCTTTCGCTAGTCATCGGCGTCGCCGTCGTCGTCGTCGCCGTCGTCGTCGACGTCGTCGTCGTCGTCGTGGTCGGTCCCCTGTCCGTCCCTCTTGGGGTCGGGTCGACGGTCCGCGGCCGCCCCGCCGATCAGCGCTGCCGCTGGCCAGGCCGACGGTCCGCGGCCGCCTCGCCGCTTGCCGGGGCCCGGCCTGCAGGGAAGGAAGGTATGCCCCCCGAACGGGGTACGATCGAAGACGAAGAGGGCGGGTATCGAGGGTTTGGGAAATACGCGTTATCGGACACTCGAGCAGACAACGGCGAACAGTCTTAAAATGATTGTTGTTGTTGTCGTCGTCCCCCCCCCCGCGACCCGGCCCGCGACCCACCCGCGACCCACCTCGCGACCCACCCGCGACCCACCCCGCGACCCAACCGCGATCCACCCGCGATCCACCCCGCGACCCGCTCGCGACCCACCCGCGACCCACCCGCGACCCACCTTCGACGCACCCGCGACCCACCCGCGACCCGGCCCGCGACCCACCTGCGACCTACCGTCGACCCACCCGCGACCCACCTGCGACCCAACCCGCGACCCACATCAGAGTGAGGGGGCCAAACGGTCATTCATTGTCCCTAAATGCGTCGCTGAAGTGCGAATCCGTGGTGAGGATTATGCTTGCTGTCATTGTCGTCGTCCCCCCCTGCGACCCGGTCCGCGACCCACCCGCGACCCACCTCGCAACCCACCCGTGACCCACCCGCACCCAACCGCGATCCACCCGCGATCCACCCCGCGACCCGTTCGCGACCCACCCGCGACCCACCCGCGACCCACCTTCGACGCACCCGCGACCCACCCGCGACCCGGCCCGCGACCCACCTGCGACCCACAGTCGACCCACCCGCGACCCATTTGCGACCCAACCCGCGACCCCATTTGCGACCCAACCCGCCTGCGGCGGGCTCGTTGTATAGCTTGAAACATGTTGCGCGTGCGGCGGGCTTCTTCAAAGCCTCGCAGACTGCCGACGTCCCCCGCCCCCTGCTTGTTGTTGGTGGTGTTGTTGCTGTTGTTGTTGTTGTTGAACATTTTTTATTCTAAAGAATAATTTTTGTTGGGCCCCCTGGTGCGCGCCCCCCCTGCGCCGCCTAGGCCGCAGCTACATTTTCATCATTTTCGTGAGGAAGCCTCAGGTAAAACGATGTGATCCAGATCCGGTTGTTTTGTTGTAATCCGTTTTCCCTTGCAAAAAACACTATAAAATGACATTTCTTGTTCTAATATAATCAAATTTCAAGAATCCCTTGCAAAAAATAAGGTAAAGTGGACATTCGCGCGCGCAAGACGAAATCCTTCCAAAAGCTTAGTGTTCGGAGCGATTTTAACATAAAAACATCAAAAAACCAATGGTTTTTCAACAAAAAAATGTCAAAATCTCATCCCGCGCGCTCTTGCGGATTCGTAGGAAACCCAACACTTTTTAAACATTTCTGTCAAACGGGCTTTTGCGAGCAACTTTTTCGAACTTCTGCGACAACGGTTGCGCACCTGCCAGGGCCATCATCCCTGTCAAATAATACCATGCGGGACACATTCGTTTTTTCTTCGCGCGCGCACGCCGTCGTCGTCGGCCGCGGGGCCCTGAATAGTAGCCACGGTCGTCCGCATGCCACGAAGTGAAGTGTCCGAACGTCATAGGGCGGGAAGCTGGGTGTGGGTGGTGGCGAAGAGTCGTTTGGAAATTTGGTAGAGCTTGAACCGGCCCCCCCACAAAGTGGGGGTATTGCCCGCCTCCTATGAAAACCCTGGCACTGGTGAGAACGGAGTGTCCCCACGTGCTTGTAATTGTTGTTGTTGTTGTTGTTGTTGTTGTTGTTGTTGTTGTCGTTCGTTCGTTCGTTCGTTCGTTCGTTCGTTCGTTCGTTCACTTCCCAAGAATAGTTATGGTGGATCCCCCCTCACCAGTGCATATGTCTTTTCCTCAGTCAAAGTGTGCTTCCGACGCTCGCACTTTCTTTTGTCAGGGAAATCTTGGTGCTCAAACTGTGCCCCAGGCGCCCCGGATTACAACAACAAGGGCTCCCGCCTGAGATTTCCTCCAAATTTACTCAGGACCCCCGCTCCTGAGACTTCTTCACAATTTACTCAGGATCGGTGCTCCCGACTGTGACTTCCTCGCAATTTTGTCAGGACCCCCGCTCCAATTTGAGACTTCCTCACATTTACTCAGGAACGGCGCTCCCGCTTGAGACTTCCTCGCAATTGATTCAAGACTTCCTCGCAATTTAATCAAAACCCCCGCTCCCGCCAGAGAGCCCTTCACATGGTATTCAGGACTTGCGCTCTCGCCTGTGACTTCCATGCAATGTATTCAGACATCGCGCGTTCGACGCTCAGGAAACACGCTGCGCCAAGGACGCCGTTACACTTTACTTAGTAATCGCGCTCTCGCCATACTCAGGCTTCCCGCTTGAATGTCCCACCCGCCCGACCCGCCCGTCAGGGGATCGCCCGCCCGTCGTGGGCTCCCGCCCGAGTCTTCCTTCAGGAACGGCTCTTTCGCTTAGGATTTCCTCGAATGTTCACGCTCTTACCTTCCTGCTCCTCCTCCCTCTCTCTCCTCCCTCCTCCCTCCTTTCCTCCCTTTTCTTTCCCCCCTCGCTTCCCTCATCCTTATGCGTCTCTGCCCTATTCTCTGTCCCTCCTCTCCCTCCTCCCTTCTCCCTCCCCTCTCCTGCCTCCTCACTCCCTCTTTCTTCCTCTCTCTCTCTCTCTCTCTCCCTTTTCTCTTTCTCTCTCTCTGTCTCTCTTTCTCTTCCTCTCTTATCTGTCTTTCTCTCTCTCTCTCTCTCTTTCTTTCTCTCTGCCTCTAATCAACCGCCCCCCTCTTCGCTTCTTCTCTCCTGGCGTTGTCCCTCTTCCTTCGTCCCTCCCCCTCCCTTCCTCCCACTCTCCCTCGTTCTCCCCCTCCTCTTTTTGCAGGGCCCACACCAATTCCAATGGCGGGCACATGTACGCCCACGAAGGATTGTCCGCCCGTTCAGGTTTGCCTGCCTGTGTAAGTCTGCCGCCCCCCGCAAAGAGAAATAATCCCCCAAATGGGGGTGTGATCGAAGTCAAAACGGTCGGGCACCGAGGGTGTGGGGAAGTCGTTTTGAATAACACGCGGGCGAGTAAGAGCGAACAGTCTTAGAATGATTGTTGTTGTTGGTGGTGGTGTCGTTGTGGAATTCTCACCCCTGAAGAATAATTATTGCTGATCCCCCCTCACCGGTGCATGCTGTTTTTCCTCAGTCGAAGTGCGCCCCTCGACGCTCGCACCCTCTTTTTTGTTTGGGAAAGCCTTCGTGCTCAAATCGTGCCCCTGGCCACCCGGATGATAACAACAACGGCTCCCGCTTGAGACTTCCTCGGACATTTATTCAGGACCCCCACTCCTGAAACTTCTTCACAATTTACTCAGGATCGGCGCTCCCGCCTGTGATTGCCTCGCAATTTTGTCAGGACCCCCGCTGCCATCTAAAAGTTCTTCACAATTTACTCAGGAACGTCGCTGCCGCTTGAGATTTCCCCCAAATGAATCAATATTTCCTCGCAATGAAATCAAGACCCCCGCTCCCGCCAGATACCCCCTCACATTTAATTCAGGAATTGCGCTGTCGCCTGTGACTCCCATACAATTTATCCAGAAATCGCGCGTTCGACGCTCAGGAAACACGCTGCGCCAAGGACGCCGCTACACTTTACTTAGTAATCGCGCTCTCGCCATACTCAGGCATCCCGCTTGAATGTCCCACCCGCCCGACCCGCCCGTCAGGGGATCGCCCGCCCGTCGTGGGTTCCCACCCGAGACTTCCTTCAGGAACGGCTCTTTCGCTTAGGATTTCCTCGAATGTTCACGCTCTTACCTTCCTGCTCCTCCTCCCTCTCTCTCCTCCCTCCTCCCTCCTTTCCTCCCTTCTCTTTCCCCCCTCGCTTCCCTCATCCTTATGCCTTTCTGCCCTGTCCCCTCCTTCCCTCTTTCTTTGTCTCTCTTTCTCTCTCTCTCTCTCTCTCCTTCTCTCCCTTTTCTTTCTCTTCCTCTCTCTCTCTACCTCTCTTATATGTTTTTTTTTTGTTTCTCTGTCTCTCTCTGCCTCTAATCAACCGCCCCCCTCTTCGCTTCTTCTCTCCTGGCGTTGTCCCTCTTCCTTCGTCCCTCCCCCTCCCTTCCTCCCACTCTCCCTCGTTTCCCCCCTCCTCTTTTTGCAGGGACCACACCAATTCCAATGGCGGGCACATGTACGCCCACGGAGGATTGTCCGCCCGTTCAGGTTTGCCCGCCTGTCTAAGCCCGCCACCCCCCGCAAAGAAAAAAAACCCAAATGGGGTGTGATCGAAGACAGAAAAGGCGGGTATCGAGGGTGTGGGGGACTCGTTTTGAATAACACACGGGCAGGTCACGGAAGGGGGTGGTTTGTTAGGGGAAGGTTAGGCCGCACCCGATATGATTCTTATCCAATGCCTTCAATGTACCATCGCGAGTCAGAGCCTTCTGTTCCGTGCGGTGTGCCGCGTGGGAGGTCTGCGTAAGCCCTCGCGCAGTGCGGCCGTGTCCCCTCGCACAAGATCCCACGAGGCTTCGCCGCTCACGACACGGGCACCTTTCCTCCTCCTCCTCCTCCTCCTCCTCCTCCTCCTCCTCCTCCTCCTCCTCCTCCTCCTCCTCCTCCTCCTCCCCCCCTTCTCCTCCTTGACGTCTCCCGTTGCTGTTTTGCGGGGCATCGCGAGAGTCTGCCCGGCTGCTCCTGCACCCCTGCTGGTGGCTTCTCGTAGCGGTGGGCTCCCGCCGACCACGCGGCTTGGTATAAGTGATACGTCAGCGTGGCGATGCACAACGCCGCCCGCCCAGAGCTAAAGCTGCCGGCGCGGGCGCCGCGCTGACAAGCGCCCAGACATCGTATGGGCGACTCGAAAGAGCAGTGCGGGAGGCTCTTTTCGTCTGCCGCGTGGGGGGGTCTAGGCGGCATCAGGCCATCTCGAGTCAGCGGGTCGGTCGAAACAGGACTCGGGGCGAGAGCTCCAGCTGGGGCCTGGAGACGCGGAAAAGAGTCTTCGTGATTTTTTTGGGGTGGTCGGTGTTCATGAAGGGTGACGAGACAGGCCGGGCGGGGCTGGGACTGGGATCGATCCTTCCAGAGCGTTCTGGATCGCTCTCAGAGCATTCAGGAGCGCTCTGGGACGGCCGCGGCGCCCGATACATCTGCTCAATCCGCCAGGTATCAGAGGTTCCCGATTCATCTCCGTTCGATTTCGTGTTGTTCTTCGCTTCGACCTTTTTGGCCGCCCGCCGTGGCGCGGAGAGCATCGCGCCTCGTGGCTCAGGCTGGACATGTGCCCTGCTCCACGGCGGCTGCGCGAGAGCGCGAAGATAGCAGCGCGTCGGCACGAGGGGCCCATTCTAGGTGGCCCAGGCTGAGTGGGCACCTTCCAGCAGGATGCGGAGGAGGTCTTGGCCAAGGTCAAGGCGATAAGAGTTAGGACGTCAACGTGTGCAATCACTAACGCACTGGGACCCCTTCTGACGTGGAGAGCGCCCTGCGCAAAAAGATGAGGCCCGTCTGCCGTGCACCGCAGAACCCTCCCTGGACTTGAGAGGGGGTCGTGTCATGCCCGCTTTTCTGCGATGTCTTTCTACACATCGCGCGGCTCCATCCCAGGCCGCGGACGCCTCTCTTGGAACCGGCTCGTCCGGAGTGGAGACCGAGCCCCTTCTTCGAAAAGGCATCGTGGTCGTCACCGCAAACATCGTCTTCATCATTTCGTGGAGCCCTGGGCTGCGGATGCCACAGCGGCGTCCCTCGGCCACTAGCGCGCGCGCCGCCGCTTTACGCGTGCATTGCTAGCCCAAGGTTCTGGGGCCAGTGGGCATCCTGGTCATCCTCGCCATCATCGCCAGCGCCAGTGCAGAGCAGAGCTCGCAGAGTGCCACGACGTGCCAGAGCCCAGTCGTTCCCAGACTCGAATCTCACGCCCTGGCTTGTCTTTCCGTTTTCATTTGCTCCGTCTCACGATTCTGGTAATGTTTACGATTTCTGAGCGTCTGTGTGTCCGACGGCTTGCTTGTCTGTCATCATCGCGATCGCCATCGACATCATCACGGCGGCGGAGGCTGCAGCCTCACACGAGGCAGATTCTGCCCGCAGGCGTGGGCGTGGCCAGAGGGTTGGCATTTGGCAGTTGCTGAGTGCGGAGAGGGCGCCTGCGGGTACGACGTGGCCTTGGGCCTGCGCAGCGATTTGGACTTCGTCGCAGTCTCGCAGCTGCTGTATCATCGAGCCTTCCAGTGCGGACTGGTGCCACGGCCCTTTCGGCCGCATTCGCTTGTCAATATCGTCTGGCAGGCCAGGGCAGAGGAGTGCATTCAGTGCGGGCTCAAGGTATCCGTGGGCCTTCCCCACCTGCCGCCCGATGGGACGTGCAAAGGACGCGGGGGTCGTACCGCCAGCGCTGGCGCAGCAGTGCCAAGCGATTGAGAGCGTGGACGAGCCGGATCTCGCTTGCGCGGGGGCAGTGGGGCGAGACAGGTGGAGCTGTGCGCCGCTCACCGCTTCTTGCGCAGTAGTCAACATCTATCAGCCCAGGGGTCTGCGAAAGGCTCCAGCACGATCTCGCGTGAGACGTGCAATCCGCAGCTCGCAACTTCGACGGCGCCAGATGGTTCTGCGGGCGAGGCCGAGCTCTGGTCGTCCGTTTGGTGGGTGCAGCAACTGGCTGAGTGGACAGCTTTCACTCGTCCGACCAAGGTAGACGATGAACCTGCCAAGGCCAGTTTCCCTCTGGAGCTGCGCGAGGCGTCGGCGCAAATGTTGCGCACGCGTGAAGCCCGAAGATTGGAGGGACCTCCTCACATTAGGGCTGTGCCAGGAGTTGGCGGCTGACAGTTGAGGTCGCGCGTAGCTCACGGGCAAGTTCTCGGGATTGGGCTCTGGAAGCCAGATCCAGCGGTTTCGTCGTGGGCAGCGCCGCAGTCCAGCCGACGAGATCGTGGACTCGCAGCCAGCGCGGGCGCAGGCGTGGGGCAACGCCGTCACGCGCTGCTGGGCCGACGGCGTGCGGATCCATCGGCAGGGTTACACGTCAGACCCGGGATGGAGCCGCGAGGCTCCAGGCTTGAAGCTGTAAGGACTCTGTCGCTTGCTAGTGCTGTCTCGCAGCAGAACCGTGCGGGTTGCGAGGCAGACGGCCGCCACGTTCCCATGGACGGCAGGACTCCGCCCGAGCCGATCCGAGCCGAGCCAGGTGAAGTCGTTCTCGGTCGTACACTGTAGGGTGCCCCCCTCGACGCAGGCATGCGGCACGACAGTAGAGGCTTGGTCCGGAGGCGATCCTGGAGCGGCATCGCGTTCGCTTGTCCTCATGCTGCCCAGGCTGAGTGGTTGCTTCCGTCAGGTCGGACCGCTGTCTTGGCTGTTGCACTGGTGGGATTTGTGGAGCTCTTGTGCAGGCGGCCTTCAGGAGCGCCGAACCGTCCTCGGTCGGACGTCGACGTGAGCCCCAGGCGTCGCGCGAGCCAGTGCGATGTGGGCAAGTGCGTCTTTGGGCCGATGTGCTACCCTCCTTTCTTGCCGCCGTGAGCGCTCTGCATGGCTGGTGCAGAGGGCCGCGTGCAGCCCGAGGGGCAGCTTAAGGTGCAAGTGCTGAGCGATCGCACATTCCATCAACTGTAATCGTCATCGGCACCGCTATGAGCGCCTACTCCAGAGTTCGTAATTAAAGGGGGGGGGGGGTCTGGACCCTCCAAGACAAGCCATTTCAGACCCCCCCCGTGGGAGAACCCTCCAAACATCGTCCCCAGACCCCCCAGGCCCTCCAAGATAGCCTGGAAGAGACCCCCCCCGAAATGAGACCCCCCTCCCTTTATTACGAAATCTGGAGTAATCGTCATCGGCACCGCCATGAGCGCCTACTCATTCCCAGCTCCATCTGCTTCCTGCGCCTCTTCTGCTCGCCGCGCCCGAGGTCGAGCCAAGACGGCCGGGCTGGACAAGAAGACGATCTCGGAGGTGGGCAGCCCAACGGCAATGTCAAGCCAGTGCTCTCCGCTCTCCATTGAAGTGTGTCCTCCCGCTGGCATTAGCTGTGTTACCGATGATGGTGGGCAGTAAGAGGCTGATCACCTTCAGGAATCGTTGCAGTTGTTGTGCGCTTTCACTTTCTGTGCCAGGAGGATTTGCTTCGGCTTCCAGCTACAAACCAGCTATACCGACATCAGGCGACTTGCAGAACTCATTGGCCTGCCAAGCCACTGCTATGGTATGGTCTTTACGTTGCGGTGAGAGTTTGTTTGGCAGCAGTAGCGGCAGTGACCTCTTAGACTAATGCATCCTCGCCGCCGCGATTACACATGGGCAGCCAACGCAGCAGCAGCAGCAGCAGCAGCAGCAGCAGCAGCAGCAGCAGTGATGAAGGGCTCTCCTCTATGCTTCCCACAGGCCGCCGAATCGCGTGCCCTTGGGTATTCTTGCCCCACCGGAAGGCAAAGACGAGGCCAGCTGCCCAGCTTCCACCCCCCATTCACAGCCTCTACCCCCCCCCCATTACTGCATGCACTGACGCTCTGCTCCCTGAAGGGGCGTCCACCTCATGCTCCCACGTCCTGCTTCTCCTCCCCCCCGTGCCGACGTGCAGATCTACTCGCTGTCGGTTGCCCAAGTGCCCGGAGCGCGCCGCGCGGGCTCCCTGTGCGTGCACGTGCGTTGGCAGGCCGCGCGCCCCCGCCTTTTCGGCAGCCATGGCGTACAAGAGCCTGAAGGGCATCTCTCCGGCGATGCAGGTCAAATACTGGGGCGAAGTGATCCAGAAGGAGCAGCACTGTCCCTCTCCCACTCCCTCTCAGTGTGCCTGTCCCTCTTCCCTCGAAGCCCTTTCCCTCTCCCTGGCCCTTTCCTTCTCCCTTCTTTCCACGGGGAGCTCCGGGGTCTCGGCTGAGGGCCGCCAATCAATCACGCCGCATAGGTTGCACCACAAAATTAGCTTGCACCGCATGTATTGTGCCACGTGGCTTCCGCTTCCAGAGTCCAGAGTGCAACAAGTCACTGTTCGGGGTCCACGCTAGCAAGCATAGCGTTCCCTTTTTCTCTGCCTTCTCCTGTTGCCCTCCCCCTCTCCTTCCCCCTCTCAGAACAGCAGCGTCACCGAACACGCGGAAACGTGGGCGCCGAGGCGACCACTTCAACAGCAGATCCGCAGAACACATGCGAACTGTTCGAGTGAGCATCGGCACGCCCGAAGGCATACGACTGCCAAGCACCAGTGCAGGCGGCTGCCATATCGCCAGCGAGCAGCCCCACGGCAGCACGCTCGACGACAACGACAACGAGGCCCCGCATCCCCGAGACAACCGACACCCCCAATATCAATTAAAATTGTGGTCTTACTTCGTTGCAGGAGCACGCGCGTGGTAGAGGAGTTGATGCGCCGACACAGCGCACCGTCCTTGCATTCGCATTTTTTAAAACAGTTGCACCAGCGGGTGGTATGACCATGGGCTGGCCATGCAGCCCAGCATCCGATAGAGTGGTGGACAGGAAGAGCGCTGAATTGGAACCCTAGCCATAGCATCAAGCTGCAGGGTAGGGTACACCATGGCGGACAGCAGTAATGGTGGTGCGACGACATACGGATATTCTTGTACAGCAAGGACTCCGAACGACGGCAGCGATAAGCAACACGGCACCAGTAACGTCACGAGACCACGACAACACATGCACGACGACACCGATGAATACATATGGCCGAGTGGCAGCGATGCAACCGTGGTGGATGTCATGCGAGTGTCTGACAGCAATGTATGGCAACATAGGCTACAGCATTGCGCGCCTTTCCCAGACGGCCGCGGGCACTCGCGCCTCGCCGCATGTGCCGGGATCGGTGCATCGCTCGCTCGCTCGCTCGCTCCATTCTCTCCAGTTCCCCTTCCCTTCCCCTTTCCCTGCTTTCCTCCTTTGCCAGTTCACTCTCCCTTTTCCCTTCCTTCCCTGTGCCCAGTTTCCCTTGTCTTTTTCCCCTGTTCTTATTCCCTTTCCCCTTCCTTCCCAGGGCCTATCCCCCAGCCAAGCACGGCTCCCCCAGGCTGACGTCTCCTGGGCTGATGCTATCCATTACGAGGCCTAAATCCTAGGACGACGAGATCTACACATATGCACCGCCGCTGGCCAGGCCCATCCTGGGCCCAGGAGCAGTGTATACTTCCCCTGGCTTGGCCAGGGAGTCATGTGCACCGCCCCTGGACCCTGGATGGGCCTGGCAAGCGGCGGTGGATACGTATAGATGTATAGATCTCATCGCTCCACATCCACTCTGCGGGCGCAGCTGCTCGACTGGCGACCTTCCACGCCGTCGCCCCAGTCCTCCGCACGACGCTGCCCGAGGCTGCCCCGCGGGACACGCGGCCGCTGTGCCAGCCTGGCAGTGGGGCAAAGCGTCACCGCCATAAACCAGGCAGACAGACCCAGCGGATGGCAGGGACCGTGATCGGCCGCGAGGGGCCCTCGTACATCTCCCTCTGCGGCATTGCGAGCACGCCCATCCAGACAAGGCGACTGAGGACATCTGCATGGGCTAACTCGATAGTGGTCTTCGAGGGTGCCGGTGCAGTTCCTAGTCGGTTTCGCTAATCGACGTGCGTTTCGCCAGATACACTCGATTGTTTTTTGGACGGCGATTAACGCTAGCCACCCCGCTAGGGTGCACTTGGAATGTGGTGCCGTGCGCACGTGGGCTGGCAGTTTTCGCTTAACGGCGTTTTGCTAAAGGGGGTTTTGTCCACACCCGATTTGCCAACGGCATGGCCGCGCAGTTCCTGCGCACTAGCCCCCGAGCGCCTGCCCCTCCGCCGCAGCCGGAGCGGGCCGCGACCCGCCGCAGCGGGCCTCTGGGTCACGGCACACTGCTGACGGCCACGCCCGCCCCCTCGGAGGGCCTGCCCAGCTCCGCTGGCGATCCGCCTCGGCGGGCGCCGCCTGTCGCGGCGGGCCGTCGGGAGCAGCACCTGCCCGCTCCGCCGCAGGCCCGCCTCGACGGGCCCTCGGGATCGGCACCGCGCTGCCCGCCACGCCCGCCCTCGCGGCGGCCGTCCTCTGCGCGGCCCCCGACGTCGCCGGAGCGGGCCGCGCGGGCGGCTCAGATGCTACGGCGTGCACGGCGTCGCCCGCGCTTCCACGCGCGCTTCCCTCGGTTGAGAAGGCGCACGCGGCGTCGCCCGCGCAGCCACGCGCGCCCCGCAGCTGCCCCAGCCTCAACGGGCCTCGGCGGCAGCCGCAGCAGCAGCCGCCCCCTCGGCTCTCTTTCTTTCTCTCTCTCTCTCTCTATATATATAGATCTATACAGGTGTATATATGTATATGGGTGTATGTATGTATGTATGTATGTATGTATGTATGTATGTATGTATGTATGTATGTATGTATGTATGTATGTATGTATGTATGTGTATTTATATATATATATATATCTCAGAGTGAGGGGGCCAAACTGTCATTCATTTTCCCTGGGGGCGTGGCTGAAGTGCGAATCCGTGGTGAGGGTTATGGTTGTTGTTGTTGTTGATGTTGTTGTTGTAGTTGTAGTTGTAGTTGTTGTTGAACATTATTAATTCTAAAGAATAATTATTGTTGGGGCCCCTGGTGCACGGCCCCCCTGCGCCGCCTAGGCCGCAGCTACATTTTCATCATTTTCGTGAGGAAGCCTCAGGTAATTCGATGTGATCAAGATCCGGTTGTTTTGTTCCCCCCCGCTTTCCCTTGCAAAAAACACTATAAAATGACATTTCTTGTTCTAATATAATCAAATTTCAAGAATCCCTTGCAAAAAATAAGGTAAAGTGGACATTCGCGCGCGCAAGACGAAATCCTTCCAAAAGCTTAGTGTTCGGAGCGATTTTAACATAAAAACATCAAAAAACCAATGGTTTTTCAACAAAAAAATGTCAAAATCTCATCCCGCGCGCTCTTGCGGATTCGTAGGAAACCCAACACTTTTTAAACATTTCTGTCAAACGGGCTTTTGCGAGCAACTTTTTCGAACTTCTGCGACAACGGTTGCGCACCTGCCAGGGCCATCATCCCTGTCAAATAATACCATGCGGGACACATTCGTTTTTTCTTCGCGCGCGCACGCCGAAATCTCTTCGGCCCGCGCCAGTGTAGTAGCCACGGTCGTCCGCAGGCCACGAAGTGAAGTGTCCGAACGTCATAGGGCGGGAAGCTGGGTGTGGGTGGTGGCGAAGAGTCGTTTGGAAATGTGGTAGAGCTTGAACCGGCCCCCCCACAAAGTGGGGGTATTGGCTGGCGTCGCATGAAAACCCTGGCACTGGTGAGAACACTGAGCGTTCGGGTAAAGTGATTGTTGTTGTTGTTGTTGTTGTTGCTGTTGCTGCTGTTGTTGTTGTTGTTGTTGGATTCTCAATTCTGAAAATAATTATTGCTGATCCCCCCCACCGGTGCACATTGTATGTTTTCCATTGCAGTGCCTTTCCTGGGGCTTGCACCCTGATTTTTTACCAGGGAAAGCCTTGAGGCTCAAACTGTGCCCCTTGCCCCCGGGTTCGGGACTTCCTTACAATTTATTGAGGAATCGCTCTCCCAGCGCTCTGGAGTCGCGCTCTCGCTGGAGATTTGCTTGCAATTTACTCAGGAATAGCGCCCTAGCGTTTGAATTTCCTGCAATTTACTCAAGCGCCGCGCCCCCTACACTCACGCACCCACGAGTCGCGCTCACGCTTAGGACTCCCTCACAGATTACTTATGAATCGGGATCTCGCTGCCATTCGTGGCCCCGTAGTTCGTGGCCCCCTCGCTGCCCTTCGTGGCTCCACTGCAGCCCTTCGTGGCCCCCTCGCTGCCCTTCGTGGCTCCATTGCAGCCCTTCGTGGCTCCCTCGCTGCCCTTCGTGGCCCCGTTGCAGCCCTTCGTGGCCCCCTCGCTGCCCTTCGTGGCCCCGTTGCAGCCCTTCGTGGCCCCCTCGCTGCCCTTCGTGGCCCCGTTGCAGCCCTTCGTGGCCCCCTCGCTGTCCTTCGTGGCCCCGTTGCAGCCCTTCGTGGCCCCCTCGCTGCCCTTCGTGGCCCCGTTGCTGCCCTTCGAGGCCCCCTCGCTGCCCTTCGTGGCCCCGTTGTAGCCCTTTGTGGCCCCCTCGCTGCCATTCGTGGCCCCCTCGCTGCCCTTCGTGGCCCCGTTGCAGCCCTTCGTGGCCCCCTCGCTGCCCTTCGTGGCCCCGTTGCAGCCCTTCTTTGCCCCCTCGCTGCCCTTCGTAGCCCCGCTGCGCCCCTCCGTGGCCCCCGTTGCTGCCCTTCGTGGCCCCGTTGCTGCCCCCCCTCGCTGCCCTTCGTGGCCCAATACATATGTATGCCCATCGTGGCCCCCGCTGGTTCGCGCCCGTCGTGGCCCCATATGCATGCCCGTCGTGGCCCGGCTGTCGCCCTTTGTGACCCCCTCGCTGCCCTTCGTGGCCCCGTTGCTGCCCTCAGTGGCCTCGTCCTTGCCTTCCGCGGCCCAATATACGTATGCCCTTCGCGGCCCCCGCTCGTTCGCGCCCTTCGTGGCCCCATGTGCATGCCTTTCGTGGCCCCGTTGTCGCCCTTCGTGGCCCCCTCGCTGTCCTACGTGGCCTTGTTGCTACCCTCAGTGGCCCCATCGTTGCCTTCTGTGGCCCCGCATTGTCTGCCCTTCGTGGCCCCCGCTCGTTCGCGCTCTTCGTGGCCCCCTACGCATTCGCTTCGTGTCCCCGCTGTCGCCTTTCGTGGCATACTTCGTGCCCTTCGTAGCCCTGCTGTCGTTCTCTCGCTCGCTTTCGGTTTCGCTCGTCGTCGTCGTCGTCGCCGTCGCCGTCGTCGTCGTCGTCGACGTCGTCGTCGTCGACGTCGTCGTCGTCGTCGTGGTCGGTCCCCTGTCCGTCCCTCTTGGGGTCATGTTGCCGCCGATCAACGCTGCCGCTGGCCAGGCCGACGGTCCGCGGCCGCCCCGCCGCTTGCCGGGGCCCGGCCTGCAGGGAAGAAAGGTATACCCCCCAAAAGGGGTACGATCGAAGACGAAGAGGGCAGGTATTGAGGGTTTGGGAAATACGCGTGAACGGACACTCGGGCAGATAAGAGCGAACAGTCTTAAAATGATTGTTGTTATTGTCGTCGTTTCCCCCCCGACCCGGCCCGCGACCCACCCGCGACCCACCCCGCGACCAACCCGCGACCGGCCCGCGACCCACCCCGCGACCCAACTGCGATCCACCCGAGATCCACCCCGCGACCCGCTCGCGACCGGCCCGCGACCCACCCTCGACCCACCCTCGACCCACCCGCAACCCACCCGCGATCCGGCCCGCGACCCACCGGCGACCCACCGTCGACCCACCCACGACCCACTTGCGACCCAACCCGCGACCCACCTACATTGTTTAAACAAAAATCTGCGCCTGCGGCGGGCTCGTTGTATAGCTTGAAGAATTTTGCGTCTGCGGCGGGCTTCTTCAAGCGTCGCAGACTGCCGACGTCCCCGCCGCCCCCTCACTCTTTTCCGCAACTGCGGGGTGATATGCATATATATGTAAAGGTATATTTGTTTGTTGATGTCTGTCTCTCTCTCTCTCTCTGCTCTTTGCTCTCTCTCTCTCTCTCTCTCTCCCTCTCTTTCTATATGCTCTGTCTGCTCTCTGCGCCGTCTGTTTGTCCTCTCGCTCTCTCCTTGTGTCTGAATGATGTTCTCTCTGTCTCTCTCTCTCTCTCTCTATACTCTGTCTGCTTGTTGTCATTGCTTCTTTTTTTGTTTCTCTCTCTCTCTCTTTCTCTCTCTCTCTCTCTCTCTTTTCCTCTCTCTCTCTCTCTCTGGCCCCGGAGGGTTGTGCGGGCCCGCCTGGCAGAGCCCGTCGAGCACTCTGTCTCATTGCACTGCGCACTGCTCGCAGGCTCACGGGCTGGCCGTCGGGGCCTCGAGTGCGCCCTTTGAGGCACCCCGCGGGAGGGCACTTCCCCCTGGAGGGGCCGCCTGTTGCTCGAACGCCGGCGCGGCGGGTCTGGCGCGCCCGCTGCCTGCCCGGCGCAGGGTGCCGCGCGAGCTCTCGGAGGACGCGTATCGGGGGCGGAAAAGAGGGGGGTGATGACTAGGGGGGGTGGATATCATGGCGTGGGCCATGATCTTTCCCCAGATTTCATGGCGCCTCTTCTTATTTCATTACGCCCCTGGCCCCCCCGCGGGGCCGCGCACATGCCGCCGGTCATGATTTGCACCCCCCCCCTCTTGCATACCCCCCTCTTTGCCGCCCCCGAGCGTGAGGGGGGGAGCGGTCAGGTGGGGGGGGAGCGCGTGCTGCAGAAAAAAGGGGCCCTTGGAGGGGGCCCTTTCGGGCCCCCCAGGGGGCCTTCGGAGCCCGAAAAAAGCACCTTTCTCCCCCCCCCATATTAATGGCCCCCCCATTCAGTCGCGCCGATTGTTCTTGTCGGGCGCCCCGCGGGAGGGGACCTCCCCTGGAGGGGCCGCTTTTGCCCTCAAGCTCGGCGCGTCGGCCACGTCGTCGGCGCCTCTGGCTTGACATCGCTCGGACGTGTGCATTTCGCCTCGGCCCAGGGCCATCGAGGAGCATCTGTTGGAGCATCTCTTCAAGCAACACTGCACGCACGAAATCGAACCATGCACGGGGCATGGACGTCCGAGCGATGGCGAGCACGCGCGAAGTCGAAAAGTGCGCTGGGAGTGACTGTCCGAGCTATAACGAGCTGGTGGTGCCGCCCGTCGCTCTATCCCGCAGGGCATGACTAGCGCGCCGCGGGCAGGTGTGCTTCTACTCGCCTGGAGCAGAAGCTCTGAGATTCAGCACACCCTCAGATCCGGGCGCTGCAACTGTTTTTAACGCTGGGCGTTCTCGCCCAGCTTCGGGTCTCTGCACTCTCACAGATAGATCCGGCCCGAAACATGCAGCAGAAAGACACGGTCCAGAGCTCTGGTCGTTTCTGTTCACGACGTTGTGAATGTTTGGCGATGTCGAAGCGGACGGCAGCCGCATGACTCAAAGTGCGCAGCGCGCGAAGGGGCGTGCACCCTGGGCGCTGGACGAAACCGCCGTCGACTCGTGCTGCCTTTCCCCGCTTCTCTCCGAAAGTCCTTACCCTTTCCTATTCCCTCGCCCTTTCCCCTCGCCCTTTCCACTGCCCTATTACCTTTCCCCATTCCGTATTCCTTCCCTCTGTTCCTTTCCCATTTCCCTTTATTTTTTGCCCTTGTCAGATTTTTGTCCTTCTTCCTTTTCTGTTTCTGCTTTCATTTTTCCGATCCCGCAGGTCCCATAGATGTCTCATGTCTCACAGGTCCCGCAGAGGTCCCCCGGGTCTCACAGGTCCCGCCAGCACGGGTCTCGCAGGTCTCGCAGGATTCACAGATCTCACAGTGTCCACAGGTTGCACAGGTCCCACAGGTTCCACAGGTCTCGCAGGTATCGCAGGCCTCACAGGCTCCACAGGCCACAGAGGTCCCCCAGGTCGCGCAGGTCCCGCGAATTTCCGATTTCCGACTGCACATGGCACGGTGGTGTCTTTTGTGGAGTCCCAGATCGGCTATGACACGCGTCCGCGGATACAGAGCAAATCAGCGCAATGGGAAGGGATGGGAGGGGGGCATACAATGTCAGATGTGGTGCGAGCGCACCTAGCGTGCCATATTCCTTCTATCTTCTTTTGTTCGGGGCTCAAAGTTCGACGGGGTGCTCCTCGCTTTGAAATGGACGTGGCCCCCCGGATCGGGATCGGTCACCAGACCAGTTCGATGCGGGCCCAGGACCAGAGCGTCTTGGACTCCTGTCGAGCACTCTTGGGCTGTGTTCGGGCCCTCTTGGGCCGTCTTGGAGCTCTCTTGTGTCGTCTTGGGGCCCTCTTGGCCGTATGGGGGCTGTCTTGGGGCCGTCGTATGGCCATCTAGACTCCATATTAGGCCGTTGAAGGGCCTTCTAAGGCCGTCTCTCTCGGTTCTCTCTGGAGACCCTTTTGGGCCGTCTTAGAGTCATATTGAGCCACCCAGGGGTCATCTTGGGCTGTCTTGGGGTTCTCTTTGGGGGCCTCTCAGGCCGTCTTGAGGACATCTTGGAGGCTTCTTGGGCAGTGTTGAGCTGCCGGACTCCTGAAAAGGCCAGACTGCGAACATCCTTCAAACATGTCCTAGACAAATCAATGACGTTGTCTTCTTCGGGCGGGCCCTACTGGAGGTCCTGGGCCCACTTAGAGGCGTATAGAGCCACCTTGCGGCCATCCTGGACCGTCTTGGAGGCATGTGGGACCATCTTGGCGGCCTTGGTTGCTTGCCTCGGCCGTCTTGGGAGCTCGAAAGAGCGGACCCATGCTTCTTTACGAGGGATCGTGGCCTCGTGAGCGCGGGTCCATCGTTTTTGCGAAGCGATCGTGGCCTCAGGAGGGGGGGGCGATGTATGCAACAGTCTACGGCGAGAGGGGAGGTGGCTTTGTGAAGGCTGCAGGGACCCTGCTGGAGAGCCCTTGGCCTCTACCACGCCTCAACGGGCCAGGGCGCAGGTTGGCGAATTGGGTCCTCGCAGGGAGAATTGAATTGTATTCTGTACCGGCTCTTGAAGGGAGTATTGTACTGCATCGTGTTGCTGAGTCCCTGTGTGTGGGGGACACAGGGGGGCCAGGCCCCCGCAGGCGGGATCCCGGAGGCAGGAACTCATTTTCCATGCCCACAGATCTCGGATTGCGGAGGGAGAGGTGGGGGGGTGCGAAGCGGCCGCCGAGGAGCAACACGAGCACATGAACCACAGCCTCAACACGGGCCCCACGCAGCGGCGCTCGGACGCGCCGCTGGGCAACCCACGAGACTTCTACGCGGGCACCTGGCGGGCACTGGGCCAGCGCTACGAACAAGCCGCCGGCTCGCGATCATGAACGAACGGGTCATTCGGTTCCGCAGGTCTGCTTGGGCTTCTTGAGTCGACCCTGGACCCCCTCCCCGCATCCCTGGTGGCGCCTCCGGCGCGCGCCAGAGAAGGGGCGTCAGGAGCGCGGTCTGGCGCCGGCGCGAGGAGTCCGCGCGGACGTCCGAGCCTTAGCTGTTCTGATGCGCGCGTACTTCAACGGCACCGTAACGGGTACTTACTAACGGGTACTTTGCAATTTTGCCGAAAGTTGACACTTTAGGGCCTCTTTCTGGCAATGCAGCGTTGCCCGCCTCGGGAAGGGTTGGGTTCGCTGGGTCACTGGGCAAAGTACCCGTTAGTGGAGTCCGCGTTTGAGGGGCGCTGAGTACTGAAACGCAGCACGTGCCTTTTTCAACACGTCGCGCGCACGTGTTGGCCCACGTTTTGGCGAGCCTATCGCGCTAGGCCCGCGTGTTCAGTCTACGTGTTGAGCTTCGTGCCAGCGCGCTATGGGCTGCGTGCTGCGTATCGGGGCAGCTAGGGCCCGAACTGATGTCTGTGTCGTTCCCTGGTCCCTCCAGGCGCACCCTCCGCGCTGGTGACCATGGCTCGCTCCTACACGAACCAGCCCGCGGCCCTTCGGGGGGCTCAATGCATACACCATGTCGCTTGGTCGGCCAATGTCGGCGGTGCGCCAGGGGGGGAAGTGAGAGGGGGCAGGCCTGCTCTGTACGGCGGGGCTTCTCAGACCCCCCCCCCGACCTTCTGAGAAGATTCATGTGTCTTCGGAGCAGGCTTAAAAACACATCACAAGGCGCGAGGGCTTCTGAGAAGCCCCTGTGCCTTCAGAGCAGGCCTGCCCTCTCTCACTTTCCCCCCGTGGCTCGCCGTCGTCGTCGTCGCCGTCTGGGTCTGGGCACTTCGAGCCCCGCCCCTTGCAGGCCTCCCAGCAGCCTGGGCAGCGGCCGCCCACTGGCCTCAGCGCGGGCTCCCGGCCGCTCACAGGCGCGAGCGCCCGGTCGCGCGCGTCGGAGCGCTCGCGGGCCGCCTCGGTGTCGTCCTCGCAGCGCCGCGCCATGGAGGAGGTCTTCCACAACCAGCAGACCCTGCGGCTGCCGCCGCCTTCGCAGGGCGCCGGCCGGCAGGGCCCGTGACGAGGCCCGGCGGCCTTCCCGAAGGGCGTCGTCGACGGCGCCATCGCTTCCGAGGCTCCTGCGCGGCGTTTCTGGAGGCCGTCGGCCGCCACGGCTGGACGCCGCTCGGAGATCTGGCCAGGGTGGGCCCCAGGAGGGGGTCCCTGGGCCGGCTGTGGGCGTGCTCCAGATTTCGTAATAAAAGGGAGGGGGTCTGGACCCTCCAAGACAAGCCATTTCAGACCCCCCCTGTGGGAGAACCCTCCAAAACATCGTCCCCAGACCCCCCCAGGCCCTCCAAGATAGCCTGGAAGAGACCCCCCCCCGAAATGAGACCCCCCTCCCTTTATGACGAAATCTGGAGTACTTGAGTCGGGGCAGGGCAAGGGAAGCGGCCTTCTATGAAGGCGTGGGGGCCTCTGAGAAGAGTCGGGTCCTCTCTTCGAGGCCCCTGTGGCCAGCGCGCCGCCAAGAGGTGTCGATGAACGTGTAGTGCAGGAAGCTCGGCGGCGAGAAAGTGAGCGGTCGCCGGGCGACAGCGCGAGCAGAAAGCCGCGCACGCGTGGGCAACCCCCGAACGGGGGCTGCTCTCCCAGCGCAAGCTCTGTGCTGCAGGCCTCACCCTGTGTGCCCCGCACTTGTTCCCCTTGCATACCTCGAGCGCCAACTCGTCCCCAGACCAGGAGGAAGAGGGAGGCGCAGGAGGAAGAGGGAGTACGACGAGGAGGAGGAGGAGGAGGAGGAGGAGGAGCAGGAGGAGGAGCAGGATGAGATCGGAGGGGGGCAAGGTGAGGAACACCAATAGGGGGAGGAATGAGGAACAGGAGATGGAGGAGTAATATGACGAAGTGACGTACCCTGGATCTAGTGCTGGCCAGCCAACGCAAAGGAGGATGCATGATGATGCTGATGATGATGATGATGATGATGATGATGATGATGATGATGATGATAATGATGCTGCTGATGATGATGCTGATGATGATGCGGATGATGATGATGATGATGATGATGATGATGATGATGATGATGATGATGCTGTTGATGATGTTGGTGATGCTGATGCTGATGCTGATGATGGTGATGATGGTGGTGCTGATGCTGATGCCGATGATGGTGACCATGATGATGATGATGATGATGATGATGATGATGATGATGATGATGATGATGCTGATGATGATGATGATGATGATGATGATGATGATGGTGGTGCTGCTGCCGCTGATGATGATGATGATGTTGATGATGATGATTATGATAGTGATGAGTGTGGTGGTGATGATGCTGATGATGATGACGATGGTGATGCTGATGATCATGATGCTAATGGTGGCGGTTGTGCTGCTGTTGCCGCTGATACTGCTGCTGATGATGCTGATGACGATGATGCTGCTGATGATGATGCTGATGATGATGATGCTGATGCTGATGATGAGGATGATGATTGTGGTGGATGTGATGATGATGATGTTGATGATGATTATGATGATGGTGGCGATGATGGTGACACCGATAACAATATGGATACCGATAACGATACCGACGACGACCATGGTGATCATGATGATGTTGCTGCTGATGATGATCTTGACTGAAATGATGATGCAGTCGCGGAGTATGATGTTGCTGTGGATGTTGATGCTGATGATGATGACGATGATGATGCTGCTCCTGATGCTGATAATGCTGCTGATGATGATGATGGTGATGATGAATCTGATTATGATGCTGAGGCTGACGATGACGACGACATCGATGCCGATGATGCTGATGATGATGATGACCACGACGACGATGACTAAGATGCTGATGACGACGATGATTATGATAATGATGTTGCTGCTGTCGCTGCTGCTGCTGCCGATGGGGATGATGATGCTGCTGCTGACGATGATTAGTACGATGCTGCTACTGATGCCTATGTTGCTGATGCTGATGATGCTGATGCTGATGCTGATGCTGATGCTGATGATGATGATGATGATGATGATGATGATGATGATGATGATGATGATGATGGAGGAGGGAGGAGTAAAAGAGAGGAGGAGGAGTACGAGGAGGCGGAGGAGGATGAGGAAAGAAGGAGAGGAGGACGAGGGGGAGGGCGAGGAGGAGGGGGAGGAGGGCTTGTAAAATGATTTTGATCTTTCTTGGCCTGCGGGAGCGCCCTCGTGGCCACGGCTGGAACCGCCTCGAAGTTCACGTCGGAGCTCTCCCTGTCAGGGAAGGAGCGCCAGAGGTTCCCCGTACAGTTGAAAGCGCCCCCCGCCCGCTCCCCTTCAAAGGGCTCTGTTTTGACGCCCTCGCCCCCACCTTCCAACGGGGTGGGAGGTCCCCTCCGCTTCTCCACGCCTTTGCGCCGGCGAAGGAGGGGGGTCTCCCCCATGTTCTTCTCTGGCGGAGGAGTCTGGATGCGATGCGATCCGGCGCGTAGGAGAGCGGGTTCGAGGGTCAGAGTCAAGATGTTAGGGTGTAGGGTTAGGGCATGGGGCTGGGTTTAGTTAGTGTTTACGGTTATCGTTGTGGTGTTAGGGTTTAGGGTGTTAGGCATTGAGGGTTTGGGTAAGATTTCGTGTTTAGGGTTAGGGTTACGGGGTTAGTGCTAGGGTTTTAAAGATCCGAATTCGGGCTTCTGTGTCGGGTAACTGCTTGTGGTTAGGGCTTTGAGTTTTCAGAGTGATTCTGGCTAGAGAGTTTGGAGATTGTTTAGTTTTCAGGGTGAGTGTGCCAGGGTGTTATGGTTTAGGGTGTCAGGGTCGAGGGTCAGTGCTTAGATTGAAGTTGGGGTCAGGATCGGTTTCAAGGGTGATGAGGGGGTCCAACTTCCGGCCCGAAACGGGGTGGGGGCTCCCATCCCCCCCTTGTCCCCGCCCCTTCGGAAAGAGGGTGGTCCCTGGCGACGGATCGGAACGGGAGGTGGGAGGGGGTCCCAGACTGCACACCGGGGAAACGAGGGAGGTTGCGGGTCCAACACCTTCCCTCTGGGGGCAGCCAGCGGCGCGCCCACGGACAGGTCCAGGGGTCGTCGACGTGGCCCTGGAGCTTTCGACCCCATCCCCTGCAGAGCTGTCTTTTCATCGCGGAGCGATTTTCTGCGGTTCCCTGGGCCCGACCACGGCTTCTGCGGGCCAGTGTAGAAAACAATATCATGCCGTGACTTTTTTCTCGGCGCCCGGATGTTTGGGTCCTCTGCAAAATCGTGGAGCCTGGACTTCCCCCGGGGTGCGTTCTGGCTTGGATTTCGGAGGGAATCCTGCCGTGGCGACGAGGGCGTTCCAGGGGAGGACAACAATCTGACCGTCCTCCTTCACCTCCAGCCACCTCCATCTTCCTCTTTCCTCCTTCCTCCTTCTCCTGATCCTCCTCCTCCTCCTCCTCCTCCTCCTCCTCCTCCTCCTTCTGCTCCTCCTTGCAGACTTTGATTTGCTGCACCACCTGCCTGAAATGGCCCCGTGGCGCTGTGCGCTCCGCGCGCGCGCTTGCCTCGGTTGTGGAGGGGTGGGGCGAAGTGAACAAGAGGGGAGAAGGGCAGTTGGAGAGTGAGGGGGGAGGGGAGGAGGCAGGACGACGAGGAGGACGAGTACGAAGAGGGGATAGGACATGGGACATCAGGAGGAGGATGGATTGCTGAAGGAAGGGCGTCGTAGTCGCCGTCGCCGCCCTGCAAATCCGCTGACAACGGGTCCCCGTACCCTCCCGGGTTCCCTCCCGACCCGCTTCTCGAGCTGCACCCAGCCGTGGCCACGAAGGGCCCAGAGCAGTCCCAGAAAGGGCACATGGCGTTGTGGCAGTCGTGCGCTGTCCGTCGACTACGCCCGTCGTCGTCGTCCTGCCAAAACCCGGACCCCTCCGCGGTCCATCCGGGCCTTTTCGAGACGGGTCCGGCCTTGGCGACGAGAACGTACAGAAATGCCCGACATTTTCCGAAACGTACATGTCGTCTTCGTTGTCGTCGTCGTCGTCGTCGTCGTCGTCGGGGCCGCTGGGCGCTCGTCGGCCTGCGGGGAGAGGCCACGAAGGTGCTGCAGCGGATCATGGCCACAGACGCGCTCGAGGCGACCTCCTGGCGGCCTTCTCTGTCGAGATTTCTCTGTCCATCTGGAGCGCTCCAAACATCGAAGTAGAAAAGACGGCATAAGCACAATTGTTTGGCGCTCCGCGCGGATTTCTTGGATCCGCGCTGGGCCCCCCCAGCGGCGCCTCCGGCGCCGCCCCTGGCGCGCTTCGCGCGCTCGCGGAGCGCCAAAGCTTATGTGTAGGATGTTATTGTTATTATTATGTTTCTTCTTATCATGCTTCTTCTTCTCTTTATTATTATTGTTCGTATTTCCTTTTTCATGTTTCTTATTACTGTTATTCCCCTTCTAAAAAAAGGCCTTGCCTATGAGGATCGAGGAGTTGCCGTCTTCTCCTCGGCAGAAGGCGGTGGAAGGGCGGCCATCTCTTCTGCTCTTCCTGTTTCTCCCTCCTCGGTGGAGGAGCAGGAGGCAGAGGAAGGAGACGCGGAGGAGGAGCATGAGGAGGACCAGAGTAAATCGGGGACGCGACAACGATGTGTTAAACATGCGCTCCCGTCCCAAGCAAGTCCCTCCTCAGAAGTCCCTGCAAGCAGTCCTTCCCACCAGCGGGAAGCGCCCCCTCGAAAGACGAGCGCCCTGTTGACCTGTGATTCAGACGAGGGCCCCGTTTTGGACTGCGTCAGTTTAGTAGTAAGGATTTAGAATGGGAGGGCCATAAACTTCATGGAGTTATCCAGCGATCGCCCCGTTTTGAAAAGGGCCGCTCCCATCTGTGTGGCCGTTGCACCATCTTACACTTCTGGCGGTTCGCGCTGGCGTTGGGGAACTGACGAGCAGGAGCCCCAGTTTCCATGGGTCTTTCCGTTATCCGTGCTTAGCGCAATTGTTCCAGGACTTGTCAAACGAGATCCCCCTTTTGAGCAGGAACTGTGCAACATGTTTGTAACTGGTTGGAACATGTAAGGCAAATGTGCGTGGCACGGAGGCGAGAGTCACGCCACATTCAAAGAGCGACACGCCCTCCACCCTTCTGACTGCTTCAAGCTTGTAAGGCGATTGTCCACGTCGACGAAGCGGACGTCCCGTTTTGAAAACGGCCCGCACTTGATCTTTGTGGTTGTTGAGAGCGTGGAACTTCAGAGCCATAAACTGTGAAGAGTGTCAGGAAGAACGCCGGGACTGCCTTACCAGCGCGCCTGGTGGTGGGAGGATGAGAGGAGGAGGAGGAGGAATTTCTTTATAAGGATAATCTTGGTTGCTGGTGGTGGTGGTGGTGAGGAGGAGGAGGAGGAGGAGAGGAAGCGGAGGATGGCCAGAGAAAGGGGAGGAGGAGGGGGAAGAGGAGGGTGAAGAGAAGGAAGAGGAATGTTTGAGGCTCTGTGGCGAGCGGTTGTGTTTTTTCGTGGTTCTCGTTGGGGCTTCGAGGGCATCTTATTGCCACGGCTTGATTCTCTTTCGGACTTCTAGGCAACTGGAGTGGTCCAGGGGAAGACCTTCAGGCTGGCCCAGGCTTCTGGCGACTCGCAAAACTCGCGCCAGAGAATCGCGACTCGTTGCGCCGTGTTTGTTGGGGACTCTGGGGGCGCTTTTTGTTCGGGCCCTGGGGGGCTTCGGGCCCTTGGGCCATTGGTCCCCAGGCTGGGGTCGAGAGCTCCAGTAAGGTGGATGGGGGAGGGGAGGAGGGGAATCAGGAGGAGGAGGAGGAGGAGGATGGGGGATATATGATCGAGATGTCTGGAAAGTCCTGCAGTTGTGAATCTTCAGAGGCTTCGGGAGCCCTCCAGGGACCTCCGGACTGCGAGAGATCTCCTCTCTCTCTTTCTCCCTCCTCCCATAATTCTCTCTCTTCCGTCTGACCCTCCTCATCCTCTCCTCTATTCTTTGCCACGCTGCTGCAGGCCGAACAAGTGCAGCGCGGCACTGAATTTCATGATGGAGGGGCATTAGGAGGAGTATGGTGGTGATGATGATGATGACAACACTGATGATGATACTGTTGATGCTGATGATGATGCTGCTGATGATGATGATGACGAGGAGGAGGAGGAGGAGGCGTACTGCGAGACCTGGATCGGTGCCGTGCACACCCCTCCAAGATGTATTTTATTGCTGACGGAGTTCATTAGGTGTCGACGCGCCCCTGAGGGATCGAGATCTTTTTTTCCCGTTCTCTGGCCTCCTTCCCCAAAAATATCCTCACACTTTTCTTCATGGTAGTACTAGAACTGGCCCTGTGCTGTGAGCATCACGCCGCTCTCCCCATCTTGAGAGTCATACCAGAATCTTGCGCGCAGGCTCGATTTGGGCACCGTCGGAAGCCTCAATGAATGTTGCTGGCCTCCCCAAGCTGCCTCAGTACGGTTGACGGAAAACAGCCTGCACCGCCCGCGCGACCAGAGCGCCGGCGTGAACTTCCCCCCGTGCTCCCGAGTCAATGCTGGTTGGAACCGGCAGCGGGGTGCAGGATTTCGGCCAGTCGACAGATGGGACACATCGCGGCGCAGCCCGCCAATACTATCAAGTTTGGGGCGCGGGGGGTGTTCCCAAATCTCAGCATTAAATGTGCAGGAGTTTGTCCATCATCCGTACGGTCGGGAACTTTGGGCTTAGCATGTCGCGTCGCCAGTTCTGGCCCACCCCTGGAGCGTTCACGTCCCAAGCCTCTCCAGGTCTCCCACCCCGCGGAGCGGAGCGACTGGCTATCATGCTGCAGGGCATCCTCAACGACACGCTATCTAAACATTCCCGACCGTAGCCTCCCGCCCCCTCCCCCCCGGATCTCCCCGCCCCAGTCCCCAAGGGCGGCCCCGGAGGCAGGAGGCCCGGCCGCCAACGTGGCCCTGGACGCGGCAACTCGCCAGCAGCACGGGGCCCAAAGTTATGCACCGCCGCCACCTCCCTCACCCCCTTCCCTCTCCCAGGGAAGACGGGGGGAAGGGGAGGGCAGAGGAGTGGAGGTGGTGGGGAGGTATGATGCCAGGGGCCCGCACGTGGCACCGGAGCCTGCACCGCGTGGGGCGCTCCGGGAAGGGCCTCGCCTCAGAGGATCGAAGGCGTTGTCATCGCTTCCTCGGTGGGAGGCGGCGGAAGAGCGGCGGAAGCCCGAGGATGGGAAACGAGGCCGCATCCGCCGGCGGAAGCCGACGGAGGAAACATCGGGGCTCAAGAGACGGGGGTCAATGCAAACGCGGTCAGACAGGGCCAGGGGTGCAGTGACCCGAGCTTGCGTGCAGGATCCTGCAGGATCTTGCAGGATCCTGCAAGGCCTGATTGACCCAGGTCTGGATTGGCCCAGGTCAGTAGATCCCCGGAAAAAAACGCCCCCGAGAGATGGTAACATCTTTGGATCCGGGGTTTCCGGCATCCGCCACGTCTCCTCGGGCCTCTTCGGGCAGGACAGGCGGTCTCCGTGCACAGCACCAGTGCGACCCCGCGTGCCAGGGCGCAGCAGCACCTGGAGGGGAGTCGCGGAGGGGGACGACGGATTCGCTGCGGGGTCCACGGGCAGTAGTGATAGGGTGCCAGGCCTTTGCACCGTAGAGAGTGTGTGCGTTGGTGTGCAGAAGGCGCGCGGTACTCGCCAGGCATCTGGGGAGCACTTCACCCCGGGGTCACGTTGATCGGGCCTCGTTCGTCACCCAGAGGCTGCGCGGAGCTGGCTATGACGGGGGCGTTCGTCAGAGAGCATGCCCAGGAGGTCTCAGACCCTGACGATTCGTTATCGGACGAGGGCGTCGGTTGTACCCATGGCCACGCCTCAATTGGCGTTCCACTGGCTTTCAGACCCTGGATTCCTTATCCAAGGGTTCCTTATCCAATGCCCTCACCGTGCCGTGAAAAGAAGGAGGGCGAGGCCCTCACCGGGAGAGACAGCGCCGCTAAAAGGAAGGGCGTCTTGCTGCCTCTGCAGACCGCCTGTCTGCGCCGGCTTTGCCCGATTGGAACGCACGGGCGTTGGCGGAATGTCTGTTGGACTCTGAACATTCGGGAATGCCGTAGTCGGCGTGTCCTGCGACAGTGCAGATTTCGGCCAAGTTTTGGGCGCCGAAGGGGCTCAAAACCATAATGTCCTCCATTGTCGCTTTCCCGATCGCCGAACGCCACCGACGTTGAACATGTAATTCCGCTCGCAGACGAGTCGACGTGTACTGCTGGGGTTCGCCCGCTCGGAAATTGCCGCCCGGAGGCAGTGCCACCGACATCCCCGTTCGGGCTCCAGCCGAGGGCATCTTCTTTGTGAAAGGCCAGAATAGAGGGTCATATCTGTAATTTCTCGCGTGTCTAGATCGCCTGCCAGCGCGAGGTGGGCGGGTGGGTTGCGTCTGCGGTTTTTGCCCCCGCGGGGTCCCGAAGTATGTCGCCCAGGACGTCTCTCAGTGGAGCGACCTGACAGGAAAGGCAATTCATAGGCATCCAAGCCCAATTCAGATATTGATGTGCGCTTGTAATGCGGAAGCCCAGCTTTGCTGCAATGCGGTAGCGAAGCGAGGGCTGGCCGACCGTTCGACATCGGGCTGGCTCGACCGCGGGTGCCGAAGATCCGCACCTGGTGTCAGTTCGCGCAGAATTTAGCTTCGGGCTGATGTCTTGTCTGCCCAGGGTGCGTTGGTGAAACTGTCCGCGGGCAGGGACCGACTGAAGGGGGCCTGGGCCGACCGGGCCCGGTCCAGGGCGGCAGCAGGGCGGACAAAGGCGAGGTCCGCGCCGCAAAAGCAGGGCTCGAGCTGTGCAGTGCGTTGTCCAGCTCGAGTTTTGTTTCCATCCGGATGCGGAGGGAGTGCGGATCCCCCTAATTGTTTGCCTGCCGATCTTATCGGGCGAGGGCCTCCGTCGCTTCCATCCGAGCACTGCCAAGGGCCAAGCTGTGGGCCACGCTGCGCAGGGGAGGTCTGCCAGCACACCGAGCGCGTGCCCCTCTCTGATGAGGCCCACGGGGTCCTCTCATGTCCTCCCCCTTCCTCCCACCCTGCCAGTTCTCCTTCCTGCCCTCCCGGCCCGCTCCTTCTTCTCTCTCCCCTCCTCCCAAGTGGTCCACT